CGCGTTTGAGAGAGCAATCAAGAATAGCCGGTTGAGTGAACTCGGACTCTATCAGTGAGATAGAAGTCTGTTGGCTGTTGAAGAGACTGGGATCAATATTTGGATTAAGGTTAGGATCAAATATATCGGCGACGTAGGAGAGGTCTGGTTGGGAGCTCGGAGGAAGTGAAGAAGGCCCTGCGGTATAGGCACTAGGTTGGGACATGGTTAATGTGATGTAAGGGATAATATAACGACTATAGGAGAGTGAGTGATCTGAACTTACAATAGGTAACTTGCGACCGTGTGAAACGAGGATTACTAGTAAAAGGGGTGCTTTGTATAGATCTGATAGATCGTAAATTGAGTGTAGACCCACTATATATTATAAGCTGATTGGCTATAAGTGTCTTTGTCCATGGGCATGCCCGTGGGCACGCCCGTGGGCACGCCCATGGGAACATACCTAAACGCCCATCTTGAGTTACAATCGAAGGATTTAAAACTCCCAGAATAATAACACAAGTCTTTGAGTGATATAATTGACAGAATTTAGTGATATAAGCTTATAAAATAAGAATTATACTAATTATCTTTCGATCTACCTATGAGAAATATACTAGAGTGAGAGATAAAGTAGAATCCATAAGTAGTATTTTACTTATAGAAAATGCCAGGCATGTACCACTGACTTAAATATATATCTTCAAGCTGTTACAGTATGATTTGATAAGTTAATAAAAATACCACACAATATGATGTATTTCGATTAAAATTTTATTCCAATTCGTATCATATATATACTAGTTTCTCATATACATAGATATTTCAGTAAAATTTATAGATGTTGTAGATTAAAACTGCCATTTTACATGGAGTTGGCAAAACAGGTGTAAATAACAGTTATTTATTATGCAAAGTCAGCGAGTTATACGTCCATTTTGGGTGACTTTATGCAATGGTGGGCATCGTGGGCATGCCCGCCGTGGGCATGCCCGTGGGCCTTGGGCGTTATGGACGGGCACTCGAAAATCCAAATAGCCCAAGGCCCACCGTGGACGGGCCTTGGGCACCTCCTAGGTGCCCATGGACGGGCGATGTCGCAGTCTACTATATATGGAGACGGATTCTACGATTGTCTAAGTGCCTTACCTTGCGTATGTTATTCAATTAAGTCTAGTTGATTTACTTAGTAAAATTAAGGCTTCGCCAAAAAATAATAACGCCGAGATAGAATGGTCTGATGATCGTGTACGTTTACTTCGTACGCGCTAGCAGAAATATGAGATCGCCGATACTCTGAATAAGGTATGCTTCTATTTAGAAATCATGAATTATGATTTAATAACACTAACTATTCTGATTTCTAATAGGTCCGAGGTCTTACGGTTTATATTAACGGAAGCCCTTAACGTAAGGAAGCCTTCTTAAATACCTAGCCTAGTAATACGCTCCGGCTTCTTCTAATCTAAGATGTTTGTATACGGTAGAATTCGACATTTCTAATACTCTGACGGGCGAAGAGGCTTTATATCGCATTTAACAAGTTCTGTTCCGACTATGATTAACACTATTTTATATTAAGTGCAGAGGGGTAGCGATAGATTGACTATTTACTTTATATTCTTTAGCCCTTTTTTACGCTTACTACGCTAGTTTGTCGTACTAAAGACTCGAGTATCCACCTTGTCTTTAGGATTTACAATAAGCTCTTTGATTATCTTGAAAGATTAATAGGTCAGCTTCGTCGAAAGAAGGTTCCCTAGAAACAGCTAATGCTTTCCTCCCTCGATACTGCGAAAGAGAAACTAAAGAAATACTATAGCGAGATAGATGGTATCGAAGGTAATCTCTATACAATTGGGACGATCTTAGCGCCGTCGAGTAAGATAGAGTTCTTTTTAATAAGTGATTGGGACCTAGATCCTAAGATAGGAAAGGACTATAGAAAAGAATACCGCGAGAGTCTTTAGTCTTTTTTTGAGAGATACAGCCAACGTATACTATTAGAGATGATACAATCTAATAGCTAGTTATTTATAACTGAATCGGAGCTTAAGAAGGCTCTTAACGGCGATTCTTCACAACGATTAACTGCTCCGCAGTACGACGAGCTCACCAAATATCTCTAGAGTAGTAAGTAAGTAAGCCTACTTTATAAATCATATAACTAACCTTACCTAATTAGAAACTATTAAAGGATCTATTCGGATCTTCTGGAAAGATCATCAGAGGGAATTCCCTATTCTTATAAGTATTGCCCGTGATATCATGTCAATTCCAGCGACTGGTGCCGGAGTTGAGCGTCTTTTTAACTCTGCCCGCGATATATACCACTACCGCCGGGGGTCGTTAAACCTAGAGACTGTTCGCGATATTATGTTATATATGTGTATAACAAGATTCGATATCAAGGAGGAGCAGCGGCTGATTCTCTAAGAGTATCTTTTAGACTATGAGATAGCCGCTTCGACCGAAGCACTTGATGTCCAGATATATACTTTCGAGGCTATTAGTGATGATAAGGAGGATGTCGAGATATGTCTTGATGCAACCCCGGACGCACCGCTACTCTCAGTAGTCGCCGCTGGAAAGCGGCCTGCGGTTAATTCTGACGATGAGGAAGAATCTGATGCCGATGAATTTGCGGATCTAGATAAGAATAGGGCATCACCCTTACCTGACTTCCCTGATACGCAGCATCGTACATCCGGTAGAATAAGGAAGAAGTCGAGACTACTAGATGGGTATATAGCTTGATTACTTAAATCTTGACTCTTGAGAACTATAACCCGACACTGAACTATAGATATAATATAAACCATTGATGATTGAAAGTTGAAACCCTAATTCGACGCTGAGCCAGTGAACCTATAATATGCACTAAATCCTCCTGTAAGGGCATATATTAATGAAGTGTTGTTTTATAATTACGAGAGAATACAGCCTATTTCTACATAATTTATGTAGTTGACCCTAAGTCACGTTTTTTACCTATTTGTCATGCTTGTTGAACCTCAGGTTCACCCGCGGGTAACCTCCATGAGGTTCGGTCCAAGATAGAACCGCCCGGAGGTTCTAGGTCATGGAACCTTAACCTCCGGGTGGGTGAACCTCCTTGAGGTTCGTGAGGTTCACCCGTGGTTCCTGGCCAGGTCTATGTACGAGATAAGATTTGGCTGTTGGTCTGCCTATATAAAGCAGAGGGCCATCAAAGGCCTGACCGCACAGTCGAAACATTGCACAACCATTCACATGCAGCTCGTTCTCAGTCAAAGCAGATCCGGTCATTTTCTTATTTTCTTCCCCATATCGCTTGACGAACTCGGAGCACCTACTAACAGCATACGTCATGAATCATCCACAAAAAAGCGATAGGATAGCTGCATATGACCCCTCCAACGATCCCCCAACCACCCTTCGCGACCACAATCGAGCTTGGATCGGCAATTCGCTGGCAGCTTAGCTATTTGTGCATTGAACGGACGAATGTCTCAGCAAGGAGCCAGTATAGACTGTTGAATTCCTTTGTAGCAGACTTCCCGCTCTACATCACCATCTGAACATAACCAACTGTCAGTCATTCTTGGCTTCTACGACGTCACTTTTTCAGGCTCTACAGAAATTGGCAGAATCTAAAAAAGTGCATGCGAAGTAGAATCATCATCGGACTTGCATACTGTATCTCATTTTCAGGCAGATCTGGTCCGCTTCAGTACACTATAGCTCATAGTAGACATTTTGGCTCCGTACATAGCATCCTTCTTACTCAATTCACCATATCAAGAAATATAGTCTCCATATTCAACCGTTCTGTCTAAGAGAGTCGTCGATGAGGTTTAGGGCGCAGTCGCTGCATCCAGCCGAGTCGAGCTTGTTCTCTGTCGGCGTTCTCCTCTAGCTGCTTGTGTCCTCGCCCCTCGCCATTTGGATTGGGCGTTGAAAGAGACGTCCACCAAGCCTCTTCGGACCCAGGATCAAAGTACTCCTGTCGGAGTCGTAGTCGGAGGGTGGTTTTCTTCTCCAAAGATGGCTGAGTCCGGAATCGTCTGGTGCTCGTTGTGCCTTCAGGGTGCTGATTGAAACCCCCCTCTGTCTTTCTCGCCGACCTTTCTAGCAAAGGTGTTGCCTCTGAAACATCGCCAGCGCTCTGGCGCGTCCTTTTGCGTGCGACGTGGGCCATTGCGGCTGAGTGCGAGAGGTAAAGAACGCTAGTATGCAGGGCTTCTGGATCTTCAGATAGCTTTATATCTACAATATAAACCACCAAATACCTTTCTCCGACTCGATAGTTGGGGCAATGTCCTCAATAATTTACGTTTTGATACTCACTGCATCGTTCTAAGGTAGAGTATCGAGTCGAAAAACTGAGGGGATGGTGTTATAAGAAGAAAGTAGCTCTTCATCCTCTCTGCTAGGTTGGGTAGCAAAACCGGGAATTGGTGTAATCTCCTTCTTGCAGCCCCGTAGCAGTCAAGCTTGGCGACCAGTCTAGCCCACTTCCAGCCTATCCTATTGAGATCAAAATTGAGGGCAGTGAATGGATTCTTTTTTCTCTTCGGAACCGGAATACTCAAGATAAGTCGGGGTGGTTCACATGATGAGGGTGGTATTGTACACGTACCCAGACTTGCCTTTTAATGATGGCTAACTCAACAATGTTCAAACCCCCGTTGGTATGACATGACAACATTATCAGATACGCATATCCGACGACCCGAGCGCCTTCTATCTTCTATGGTTTACACAAACGGAGTGGTGTGCCCGTATCACGACCGACACAGTATGGCAACAAAAGCGAGGTGCGATGCACAATCAACGGAATTGAAAAGTATCGTTGCTTCAAGAAAGGGTCCATAAATTAATTTTGTACGACGATGTGAGCCTATAAAGAAGGCGTTGTTCTTCGAGATATAGATTCAGATCTCGCATCCAAGCATCGATCATGGACACCTCTGACAAGTCCCCAGATACAAACGAGATACAAGCCTCTAACCTTGCACAGCCAAGTACGAATGAAAATGGAGCAACAGGAAGCTCGCAGTGTGAAACCGGTCATCTTGTAAGTTGCGGCATATGATTACGGAGAAACCCACTGAACACTATAGCCATTCATATCCTCCGCGTCCGAAAGCGAGAAGCGCGCCCTGGCGGCAGAGGCTTTCCAACCTGCCATTGAAACCCTAGAGCGAATGGAGCAAGAAGACCCGAAGCTCGCTATCCAAGCAGCGCGTCTTGTGGGGCTCTATCGGCGCCTGTGGGAGTCATGCATTTCCAAGCACCATGCCGACCAAAGTCTTGCAGCGGATAACAACGAGCTGCGTATCACTAACACCCAGCTGTTTCGGGAAAGAGAGTACCTGAAACAGCAGCAGAACAACCAGATCACGCGCTTGACCCTTTTTGAAGAGGCCCTTGGCAAAGTCCGAGAAGGGATCGTTGGCGTCCTCAAAGACTGGGATGGCTATGCCGAAGGAGCCACATCGGTTTCATGGAAAGGGGCACCTCTAGGAGGCCAATGATTGGATATTTTTGGTTTATGGACTAGAAAACTAGGAACTGATGACCAGCGCAAAACGATCTGAGAATGCACATGTGCTTTCAATCAATGTTTCTCGTGCGCGTAGACCCCAATTGATGTATTTTAAATTTCAGTCTAAAGCGTATTTAGGGTGCATACCTCGGAGCTGTTGATAGACGCTACTCGAGCGAACCAATTGGGCTCTTGATAACGGCGCTTTCTGTGGATAGCCCTGTAAGGTACTAGATACACCATGACAGGTAGCTTGAAGAATAGAGACGAAGAGTTGGACGTAAAAATGTGAGTATGGGCACCGTAATTCCAGCACATGTGCCATAAGAAAAATTACAGTTGTGTTTCCAGATAGCCCACTTCACCATAGCGAAACGAGAGGCAATTTGTGATTGCAGTAGGGTGTCAACCCAGAATGGTATGTAAGAGCGCTCTGTTATGATCTTATCTCCCAAACTCAGAGCATATATGATCTCAGCATAGTTATTTAGAAGTCCACCAGCCCCAGGGTGCCACTATATAGTCCCAGGATGTTACTGCATTGTTCCAGGACGCCAGATAGTGGCCCCAGGAGACTATTGTGCTCCTCCTAGGATCCCATTGTCTCCTGGGAACACCACCGACCATTCCTGGAAACCATTGACATGCCCTCTGGGAACCGAACGCGTGCTCCCAAGAAAACCAATACCCATTCCCAGAAGTCTCCAGCTTCGGCATTAGCCTCTAAAAAGAAAATAAATGTGTAGCTTTCGGTCGGCGTCCACGCACCCAAGCTTCAAGTACATAATTGGACCCTCGACCACGCATTTTTGACAGTGTCTATTGTCAAGTACTATGCATTTATGCATGCTGAAATTACCAGGTCTTTACAAACCGGAAAATCAATGGACCGTCATGATAACGGTACCATACAAAAATACATACATTGCTTAATCAGCTATGTCCGCCGAGATTGGAAAAGAGCGGATCTTGTCATTTTAGTTAGTTAGAGAATTTACATATGTCAGATTTACCATACATTGTCGTATCCGTCTATTTCTGTCAGTTATGAGCCCGGCTTCGTTCCAATTAAGATCTGTCTACAACATATAGACCATCTTTTACCTAGCTGTCGCCGATTCACAGTGGTTTTGACAACGGTCAACCCCTGAATCGTCGAAGCACCCCTATCTCCTTCGAAGAAGATCAGATTCATCGACGAAAATCGACAATAATGAATATCATGTCAAGCCTCTCCGCGGCCTCCTCCCGCGTCATTTTGAAGGATACAGAATCATGGGATGCATGGCTCTCATATATTAAAGCAATTGCAGTTGCATATAAAGTATGGGATCAATGCAATCCGTCTCTTAAGGAGGAAGAACGTCCTAAATTGGAACCACCTGAAGAGATCATCTCTGTCAAAGATGCCATAAAAGAATACCCAGAACACTGGTTCAATGTGAGGCTATCCCTAAAAGCAGATTGGGATGCAGAGAACAGAGCCTATCAGTCGAAACTACAGGCATTAGATCTAGTGGCGGTGGCAATTAGGCAGTCAGTTGATACTCCCTACCAGCCCTTTATCATTGATATACTATCACCTTTGGAGCTGATGCTCAATCTCCACAAACGATTTGCACCAGAGAGCGATCCTACATACAAAACTAAGCTCCGTCAACAGTGGCGGAACCTAGATAGAGGCCTAGATCGGAACACCGACATCGAGAAATGGCTTCTAAACTGGGAATCGCTTTACCAATCGTGTAAGAAGGCAAGGATGCCAGAAGCAGAGGATGCCACGAATCAATTCCTTGAAGCAATCTCTATAATGTCGCCTGGATTCTATGAAACATGGGCTCTCAGAGTACAGGATAATCAGGATATCCCTTTCTTCGAAATCATGACTCGGTACAAAGCCCACTGGAAGATTACCCATGGCAGGCCGGCTGCGCAAAGAGGCATCTCAAAGGCTGCTTTCTCGACATAGCAAGGCAATGAAGAAGCAAAGCCTATAGAGGCAAGGAATGATGGCCTAGAAAGAAGGCCATGTCCATGTGGCAGGGTAAAATCGAGAGTTCATATGCCTTGGGCCTGCTGGGAAATCTATGAAGATAGAAGGCCTGCTAATTACCAGCCCTCACCGGCATTGAAACAGAAGTGGGAGAAGGCCATGAAGGCTAATCCTAGATGGAAGGCAATTGTCGACAAGAAGCGAGCTGCATATGCAGAAGGCCAAGGGGGACCCTTGCTAAAGAGCAAGCGAATACAACCCTCGACGATGAAGCCTTTGGCTTCTTGACAACCAACGCAGTCAAAATTGACACCGTTATGTCAACAAAAATCAAGGATTTTGAAGCCACAACTACACCTACAGAAGACAGATGGGTAGTTGATACAGGTACTCAAATCCACGTATACAACAATCGGAGCTTGTTTAGCACCTTTAAAAGCGTACAGAGCAACGTCAAAGTGGGAGATACAGAGACGAAGGTGGCCGGTATAGGCACTGTGGTCATCTATGGTGTAAACCCTACCACTGGAAGCGCCGTTAAGATGAACCTATTTCAAACTAGGTACTCGCCAAACTTCCATAGTAATCTGATATCTCATGGATTGATGATGAAGGGGGGCCTATTAATGAATCTCAGAGCAAACTGCATTGAGACAATTGATGGCCATCGTCAGATCTATAAGATCTACCACGATCAGAAGCTATCATAGCTCACCCAGACAAGGGGTTTTATAACCTAAAAGGCATCAGATTTGAAGCCTGAAATGACGTTTGCCACTAAGAAATCCAATCAGGAGCCAAAATCTGAGGCTTCAATTGAGCTCTGGCATCGTCGATTAGGCCACATTGGCAAGGCGCGAATTGTCAAACTGGCAGAGATGACTGAAGGAATCACTATTGCAAGCAACCCAGGCAAAGAAATGTAGGTATGTGAAGCTTGTCAATTGGCAGATGCACCTAGGCAAATCTCTCGCCGGAAGATAGGCCAGGCATATGGTATATTAGGGAGAGTACACTTCGATCTAGTACAAAACCAGCCTGCCTACAACGGTCATATATGGATGACGCACTTCTATCTCGATAGAATAAGGTGTCACTTCGTATTTACCCATATAAAGAAGAGCGAGTATCAGATGGCAGTTCGTAAATTCTTAGCATTGATCCGAAACTGGTTGAAAATCGAGATCAGGGTATTTCATTATGATAATGAGAGAAGCGCCGGCAATGAGGTTGAATCTATGATTGAAGACGAAGGGTGTACCATTGAGCATGCACCACCTGGCTTGCCAGAGATGAATAGACCAGCAGAGAGATCTGGAGGCATGATAGTAAGGAACGGCAGAGCATTGCTCAATGGTACGAACCTACCCCACAATCTATAGCCAGAGACGATATATGCATCTGCATATATAATGAATCGTACCCCTACAAAGATGGATGGCAAGTGGATTATACCATGGAAGGAATTGATGCGCTATGCGGCTCCAGATGGCTTAAAAGATCAAATTGTCAACCTATCGAATATGAGGCTATATGGGTGCTTAACGTACTTAAGGCTTCTGAAGAGAGTACAATCTAACAAGATGGCTCCGAGAGCAGAGATCGGCTATCTTATAGGCTATGTTTCAAAGAGCCTATACAAGATCTGGTTTCCATACAAAGGGCGAGCAGGCATAGGCAGAGTTGAAGTTGTAAGAGATACTGTATTCGATGAATCGAGACAGTACTCTAAAACGAAGCCTTTACCGCAAGAAGAAGATGCAATTAGTACTATGACAAATGGACTAAGCGCTAAGAACTGGCCCCAAGTGCTCTCAATAGAAGAAGCGCAGTCAGAATTAAGCATAGAGATGCGTATACCGATGTCAATTGCTCGCATAACTCTCAATGATGACGTCGAAAACCGAGAACAAGGTACTGCACCAGAGGCGGTAAATGAAGAAATCCAGGAATCTAGAGTTGTGGAGCAAGCTCAAACTCTAGATAGTAGGGAGGAGACACCAAGGGTCCCCCCTTTAAAGGAAACACCTGTTTTACCTTTAACACCGGCTTCAATAGCAGGCCCTACTTCAGTGGTAGAACATATCTCAATAATAGAGGTAAGGGATCAAGAACAGATCCCTGGGAGCTTCCCTATGTTACCACAGAGAGCCTCACCACAAAGAGCACTATCGTCGATTGCTACGATTGAGAGTACGCTATATAAGAGATCTCCTACCTCGCTATCTTCGCCAGATCCGATCAATATCATACAGTCGATCGAAGCTGAAGGGGGAGAGGGAGATCAATATAATAAAGATAAAGTAGAGATAGAGCGTCAATTGCAACAAGAGATGCAGTATACGCCTACTCCAGAGCCAGAAGATCGGCCTACTAGAGAGATCTCTGCGTCAATTGATGAATCTAATATTATCTCAGGCCCCAGAATACGGAAGCCAAAGGTAGATCCAGACTACACTACATATCTATCGCTAGACGAGAAACAGCTAGCCGAGCCACTAAGCCTTCTATATGCCTTTACAACAGGTATTACGAAGAAGCTCAATATGCAAAACAGACTGCATAGAGATCAGATGCCTCCACCACCAGAGAACTGGAAGCGGCTAAAAATCCATCCCTTTGCCACGCAATTGAAGGCAGCTGCGGAGTTTGAAATTGAGACCTTAAAGGCTAAAGAGACCTTCTCTCAGGTTGCATTACCGAACAAAAAGAGCACCCAGATCTTGCTATTGAAGTGGGTATTTACATACAAATTTGATGCAGATGGTATACTCGAGAAGTTCAAAGCAAGAATCTGCGTGAGAGGAGATCTATAGTGGATGTTAACTGAAGAAAAGAGAGCTGCTACACTAGCTGTCAAAACAGCGAGAGCAGTATTCGCACTAGTTGCCGCCTTTGATCTAGATATGATTCAGAGAGATGTGGTTACCGCATTCCTGAATTCAATGCTAGAAAGCGAGGTTTATACCAAGTGTCCACCAGGCTTCGAAGCACTAAATCAGTGCTGGCTCCTGTATAGAGCCCTCTACGGATTGCGTATGTCACCAAGGCTTTGGCAGCAAGAAGCTACAAAGGTGCTAGTAAAACTAGGCCTTACCCCAGTGGAAGAAGATCCATGCATCTTTACAACCAAAGGCATTATTGTCTTTTTCTACGTGGACGATATCATCATCGTCAATCACCCCAAACAGGCTAAAGAAGCCGCTTTACTAGATCAAAATCTAAAGAAGCAATAGGAGCTTCGAGAACTGGATGCAAGCTGGTTCTTAAATATACGTATTATACGTGATAGAGAGCAGAAGAAGCTCTGGTTATGCCAAGATAGCTACATCGAGAGCATGGCACACAAATACAATCTCGTCACAGAGAGAAAAATAGGGTCCCCACTGAGCATTGAGCCTCTAGTACCCTATGATGGGGTGGCATCACCGCAACAGATTCATGGTTTCCAGGCCAAGGTTGGATCTGCGCAGTATGCCACCACCATTACCCGGGTAGATGCTGCAAAAGCAACCTCCAAAGTGGCTGAATTCCTTACAAATCCAGGACCAAAGCATATAGATGCAGTCGATCGCATCATACAGTATCTCTATGAGACACGCTTTTGGGCCATTGAATACGGCATCAGAACACCAAACAGCATCAGAACACCAAACAAACAACCTAGAAATCGAGATACGACCCTGACGATGGCGGCGAAATCGGTTGAATTTGCAAGCGATGCGTCGTTCGGAGACCATAAAGATCGAAAGAGCTCCGAAGGGTATATCTGCAAGTTATATGGTGGCCCAATCGATTGGAAGGCCACTAAGCAGAAGACTGTCACCACATCGACTACCGAGGCCGAACTACTAGCTTTAGCAGAGGCAGGAAAAACCGTACAGTGGTGGCGACGAGTGCTTAATGCACTAGGCTTCGAACCAGATCACCCACTATCCATCATGTGTGACAACCAGCAAACTGTCGATTTATTGACGAAGGAAGGGGCCGCGATGCATACGAAGCTCCGGCATGTTGACATCAATCGATGCTGGATGAAGCAAGAAGTTAGCGCAGGTCGAGTATATGTGGACTGGGTACCAACTGCTGCGATGCCAGCAGATGGGGTCACCAAAGCTCTGACGAAGCAGAAGCAGGGACACTTCAGAGAGTTGGTTGGAATGAGGGACGTAGGTCACATGATTCGTCACATGACCTCTGAGAACAGAGGCTGTTTTGCGGAAACTGCATAAATCGACGATTTGAGCCGAGATCAGTGAGGAGACAGGTGAGGTAAGTTGGAATCACTTGCGAATCATTTGCGAAGCGGTTGCGAAGCAGCTGCGAAACAGTTGGAAGAAAGGCAGTCCTTGAGAGCTTTGAATAGCTTCAAGAACTGGGGGGTGTGTCAAGTACTATGCATTTATGCATGCTGAAATTACCAGGTCTTTACAAACCGGAAAATCAATGGACCGTCATGATAACGGTACCATACAAAAATACATACATTGCTTAATCAGCTATGTCCGCCGAGATTGGAAAAGAGCGGATCTTGTCATTTTAGTTAGTTAGAGAATTTACATATGTCAGATTTACCATACATTGTCGTATCCGTCTATTTCTGTCATCTATCACTAATATTGCAAAATGTCTTAGGAAAAAAAGAGCCAACTGTGGGCCTCACGTAGAGATGGACAGTATCTTGAGATGAATAATAAATACGAAGAACAACTATAGTTGACATCGGATTCCCCAAGACACTGTACCCCAAGAATAATGACAAACCACATGACTAATGCACTCAGAAGAAAGTCAGGACTAGGCATGTTTGTAGTGTGTACGATGGTCTGCCTTCCATAAGGCTAATGGCCTTGAAATTTTGCAGCACCGCATGCAGTATGTCACGCAGGCTTTCGGATTTCTGATTTGATGTCAATGTACGTGGAGCTGCTTTTACGTCAAAAAAAGGTGTCAAGCGACTAGAGTACGCAGTGTCCACCAAGATGTTTCCAAGGTAGTCTATATGGTGATCATTATCATGGGGAGATTGGGGCTCTCAAATTTGCCTGCAATGGTTATGCACATAGAAAATAATTAAGAGCTTTTCTAAAGGTGACTGAGCATGGTAATGTTAGTCAGGCCATGTAAAAACGGATCAAGGAACGTTTCGTTTCCGCCCAAGGGCCATCAGGAACCATGTCATGAGGGAACTTTCCATCATTAGATATGGCGCATCGGTCAGCCCCGGCCTTTAACAACTCCCCAGCTGCTTCCCACGTCTCCTCTTTGGCGACAATCTTGTGCAATGGCGTGAGCCCAAGCATATCCCGAGAGTTCACATCAGCCCCGCTTTGAATGAGAAGTTTGAGGATTTTGTGCGCATTCCGTGTTTCGGCAGCATAATGCAGAGGGGATTTGCCATTTTGTCTCTCGAATTAGGAAAGGCCCCATGTTCGAGTAAAATCCGTGTTGACTCAACAGATCCCATGCGCACAGCAAGGGAAAGAGGTGTCAGCCCATCGATGTTTCGAAATTGAACATCGGCTCCAAGCGAAAGAAGGGCTTGGATACATTCCACCCCTTATCGGATATAAAAATTCCTGATAGCGTAGAAAATTGGAGTCTCATTACGCTGGCCGCCGGCCCAATTTGCATCAGCTCCGTTTTCGACAAGCCAATCCATCAAACTAGGAGAGCAGCTTGATAATGATGCAGCCAAATGGAGGACCGTTTCTCCATTGGAATCTCTAGCCATGATATTGGCACCACATTCAACAAGAGCTTGCGCTTGTTTAATAGCACTTTGAGAGATGGCATAGAGTAGAGGCGTCTTATAAGCGTGATTTTCAGTATCAATCTCAGCCCCATGTATGAACAGTGCTCGGATGATACTTTTATTGCCATTACCGGGACTGTTGGGATTTGTTGCAGCGTAGAAAAGTGCACTCCATCCTTCCCGATACTGGTTCATATTCTTAAAGTTCGGATTGGCGCCAAGGTGTAACAGCAGGCGCACAGCACGTGTGCATGAATTTTCAGCTGCGACTTGAAGTGGCGTTCTTCCCATATCATCTTGAGACTCTATTTGGATACCCGAATCTATAAGAATATTTATAATTCCGGAAGTAGCCTTCTTAGAAGCCGCGATATACACGAGATTCATCCCGGTTCGACAGTCCAAGACGTATGTGTCAGCCCCATGTTTCAAGAGTAATGCTACTTTGGATTCCTGGCTTGACCGGACAGCCTCAAATAAAGGAGCATGCTTGTCAAACACAGCAGAATCGGCCCTGGCACCGTTTTCTAAGAGCAACTTAGTGATCGCCACGTCGCTACGACCATTTGTCGCCAAAGCCAAGGGTCTTCTGGATCGGGCGTCGGCCGCATCTGGCAAAGCCCCACTCTCTAGAAGGATTTGTACAACACTGGTATGCTTGTGCTTCACAGCTTCCAGAAGAGCTGTCAACTGTGCCCGATTCGGTGATCGAAGATTCACATTCGCACCCGCACGCAGCATATTCCGGACTCCAAGTTCGGCCCCACGACTCGCGTACCACAAAAGGGCTGATCCACCATCAGAGCGGACATTCTTTTGATAAAGCTCATTGATCAGGAGATTGTAACATTTTGGGCTAGTTAGGAGGAAGCCGAGAAAGTCTTTCGGCGAATCCAAATTGCCTGCAACGAGCAAGATCAATTCAGGTGGAAGAGACAGAAGACACATTGCGAGATGTTAGGAAAATGGCTGGGACTCCACTTAATAAAATGAGTGATAGGAGCTCTCGAACCTTACCCAAGCTAAACGGGCCAAGAGCTGCTGGTTTTTGTGTATCAGGTGACAGAAAAACAAAGCAAGACAAAGACAGAAGAGAATGGACGTTTTATATATGACAACAGAAACTAATTCGCCGCCTGTGGTCCAATCAGGTACTGTTGAGGCGTTGAGGAAGTGGCCGTGATGATCGTTCTCTGGATTGATAACCTTTCCATGAAGGTCAAATCTCGATGATTTATATGACGTGAAAATCATTAAGTGGCTGTGGATTAGGGGAAGCGAGAAGGCTAGGTAACAGAATCACGCTATGGGCTTGTGTTGCAGATTTGGCTTTGTTCAAACTGATCGAGATGAACTTGAACTCTTAAGTGTCCACAAATTGACTCTCTTTTCAAGGGCTGCAGCATTCCTCGATGCAGTTGAAGTACGCTACGCAAAATAGGCTGAACCGCACTATACATCAAAACCTACTCTACGCAAGGAACCGAGTGGCGGAATCACCTTGGATGGTCCACAAGGGCATGAACCATGACCGATTTGAGAACTTGATTAATATAGTTGAGAATGTTATGATGGCGAGGGGACCGTGGGGTGAGATAATTGCCGTTGAGGTACTATATCACCGGGTCTCTCCGACGTAGAATTAGCAGAATTAAGCCTTGGACAAGACTGAAGATAGTGCTGGCACCTTTAATGCGTTGACGTGATCCAGAACAGAAGTTTACACAACATGGTTGAGACAACCGAGGCTTAACCACCTGTTGGTGGTGGCGATCCTTTAGGATAGCAATCTGCCGGTTGGTCAAAGAACCGAATTAGCCACAGCAAACGTCGCAGTTAGTAGCTCGTTCCTGTTTAAGCGAGTGCAACTTTGACCGCACTTATCTGAATTCTCAAAGGTTTGGTTACCCCCAAATCCAAGCAATCCTAGTTCAACGCCACAAGGAAGATGCCAAAGTCGTCATTGATGTGTCCCTCAACTTTCAACGCTCCCCTCGCCTTTAGTGCCTCTCGGGAGGGCCAGAGAGGCGTTCGATTCTGGGGGCCTCGGGAAAATTGGGGATATGTCTCTTCTAACGCTCTTCAACACCCCCAACTTCAACGGTTTTGAATAGCCCCTTGTCCACCTCCCCCGTTTATTCAATCCCTAGTGACACATCGAATAAATCTCGAAGAACATGTTTAAATGAAGCTTCCGATTTCTCAACAGCACTAAATTAGAAGCAAACGGACGACTTACAAGACCAATAGCCCCATCTGACTGGGCTAAAGATGTATGGAAAGCTCGGCCAGATGCCAGTCAGGTCGCCAGAATTGATGTGGCATGGCAATATTACACACCTTGATTTGCCCCTTGGAATGATGGGAATGTTCTCGAAAGTTGTACACCAAGGGTTTGGAGTTGGTGATGCAATGGGCCGGGACAAGATTGGTATTTACAGCGCAGTGGAAAATTAACTTGTAGTAAAAGATAACTCGAAAAGACGAGGTGACTTGCTGATTCACGATGAACATCATTTCTCTTTTGGAGATAACATAGAGAGACATACACTAGATTGACAGACGAACTAAGTATACGAATTCATGACCAATTCTGATGGGCATCCCTAGGAACGGTTCGCTCTGGATAGAATACATGAAAATAAAATGCGGGCGGCAACAGAGGCATTGGCGTAGGTCATAACGTCTCATCCAAAGTACAGTCCAGAGGCATAGTGGTTTGCTACGAAATTAGACCCCATTTTCAGAGGCAATCGTAATGTGTAGTGTGGCCACGTTCAACGTTGCAATATGGTATGAACCAGGCTGAAGTTGGTACCGAAATTGTGTATCGAACACAGCGATACGGGTTTTCCCATTACAGACGAGGGGGGTAATCTATATAATTGTGGCTGAGCTTACCAGCGCTGTGGCTATGCCAGTAATGCGCACGAGAGTGGAAATCACGATACACAAATGACAATCGATACCGGATTTCCAGTACATTCTGAATACAGTGCAGCCTAGGCTGTGCTAAAAGTTTGACGCGTCAAACCATTCCATCCCACTTCGCTTACCTCTGGTGAGAGGTTATAGAAACTCAAGTTTGGCGTTATCTATCTCAAATAGTGGCTTGCCACTTGAATAACTGTCATTTAATAGAATCTGCTGTCACTGCGGAATAATTTTCTGACATGCAATCTATTCAAGGCAAGACCAGCGGAATTAAACTTGTGAATCACAGTGAAGGGGCTACAATCATGATTTCCAAGATGGTATTTTTGCAGAATGCTCTAGTAGCAATAGGTGATTATTAATCCTGAGTATTCTAATGTGGCTCTTCAGACCAATTTTCTAGAGTCTACCCAAGAGGACACATGGTGACATGGATAGCAATAGCACAGGCACATGGCATTACATACAAGCAGTCATATCTCTATAGAGAACAGGACCCTGGATATCAGCTCAATCTAGAAGATTATTTACACGTCCTTATGGTACTGTACATACAAGTGCTATTTGAACGTTATCTACCGAACATGAGAGCAGGTGATGGTTGACCTCAAATGGGGCTCGATCTTTGCCTTTCTGTCACTTCCTATCTTCAATCTGAGCTAATATAAACCCTTAAAGTGATAATAGTATGGTTTTATGGCCCTCGTTTAAGTGATTTTTGCTAAATGAAGTTCAAATTCAACGGGTACTTGCTTGGTCAAGTCGGAAGTCATGGGCGTTGAAGACATGACAGCTTAAGTTGCTTTACCACAGGATCCATCTATCAACACAAATCAATTCTAATAAATGTCATTGTCGTTGTTAGTTGAGCCGGAGAGACATTATGCACCTTATATTAAATCATATCCTAGGTAACAAAAAGTATTTACAGCCTGACCGATGCCAGCGGATAGAATTCAAATGGAACCCTCTCCGGTGGTAAACATATCATTGCCTACAAATATCGCCAACAGCAAGTTCAAAACATCTCATGCCAGAAGGGGAAATCAAAAAAGTCTGAGAAGGAGGGAGACACTATTAAAGAAGATTTTCGAGTATTGTACAGAATGTGATGCCGACATCCACTTCGTTCTCCGAATGAAGAAGACAGGCCAACTATACACGTTGACTTCGAACGCCAAAGAGTGGCCTCTATCTACAGAACAAATAGTAAGCTGCTCCTCTTGTTTTCACTCGTTAATTCAAGTTTATTGGACGCTCACAGAACAAGGAGTCAAATCACCCTGAGCCGATTCAAATGAAGATGGACGAGCTAGCCATTAAATATCAGGGGCAAAGTCCTCAAGGGGAGCACAGGCCCATGTCTCTGCTGAAGGATTAATAAAAACCTAAATATGAACCTACTCCATAGATTCTTGATATGTATATTCTGAAACACTTCTACCATGAGAGGCATTATTTTAAATAACCGCAGATAAGCTTCTCATGAGCATTATTTCAAATTGGGTTAGGAAGAACCCGGAACTCAAGGAGTCTTACGAAGTGAAAGCGTGGATGCATTTGATCAGCTTCTGGGAGACTTGGACTGTGTTCCTGAGAGCGACTGCGAGGGTCTCTCGTATACGTATAGATGGAAGTGTCTTGTCATGAATAACCAATATGGTGAACAATTATAGCTGACTCTAGATACAGGCTTCCTCGCGTTCAGGGGAACCCATATGCACAATGTGGGTCCCGCAGATCATCTCCATGCATCCTTTATGCTTAAAGTATATCCCTGACAGCGACTATTAGCACTCCCAGGAGGCTAAGTGTTCCCAGGATCGCAAACAACCTTTCATTCTGCGCGTTACATCTCGGTAGAGATAGTTGACGATATCTGCTATTATTGGAAGCTAATAAAAACACGTGAGAGGTTCACGGCCAGCTCGAATGTCACCTTTCAATGCATATACATTTCGTTTGCTGCATAATTCTTTGTAGTCAATCGCCTTCCAAAATCAGTTCGTAGGTATAAGTCTCTAGCGCCAATTTTGGAAGGTAGAAGATTTTGACCTATATTTGTTGTGCATATTGAAGAGATCATACCAGTCTCTACACTACGTAAGCTCTAGCAGGTCCCTATACGGACTTCTACTGCACCAAAAAACCGTATCATGTAATCGGTGCAAGAAGTCTCAACTCGTTGAATATAGGCTCGGTATCTACATAAAGAACTCCGGAAACAGAACCTTCTGCTCTAATCACATTGTAGCATTGACCGTAATTCGCATTTGCAGAAGATATATTGCTGTCCAAACATCCTATGCCGGTCTTACCACCAGAAAAAAATACAGTGGGGCGGACTTAGGCATTACCGAGGTCACGGAGTCGGGGATCAATGGAATCCAACTTCAATGCATTATCACCGCAATGATTCCTTGCACGCGAGGGATACCTTCGGTGGTGCTCGACTTCGCTCCTCATACTTTTGACCTGGTGAGGTTTGCCTAGCCTAGGGCTTCTTCGGATCTTTGATGTGTACTTTGGTTGCCGACCAGCGCTGACCGATTGGCTCTCCTTACTCGAAAAAGCTTCCAAATGCTTGGAAGTCTCCCGAGAGTATTGGCTCCTGAGTGCATTCATAGTTCTTTCGGGGAACGAATCGCGAATACTACTCCATGACAGCTTTTGAGAGTCTTTCAACCTCAAGAGTCGACGCCCATCTTCGGGGGTCCACTTCCTGCGGGTAAAACCTGGCCGTGGTTTTACAGTCGTAGCCTCTCGCACTGAATTTTCCATTGCTGTGGTGCTTGTTGCGATGATGCCGTATGCGTGTTGTAGCGTTTTTGTTGCAAGCTGAAGCACTGCAAGATTCTCTTTGAGAATTCCTGCACCCGTGAGGTCGTCAGAAAATTTGGCCTCAGCAGTGACTACACTGTAAGCGCGCTTCAAATATCCGATCGCATTCCTTAGGCCTGCAAGATTGCCCGCGGAATCGCCCTCTGTGATTTCGCTTGGCGAATTTCCGGCTCCTGGTTTATGTGCTCGTCTTCCTCGCGGCTTGTTCGCATTTGTGACCGTAGAAGTCCGGTGCCGGCATCGTTTCGGAGAGGATGTTTTTGAATATTCCAAAGCTCGCTTCCTTTCGTTTGGATTACAATCTCTGTAATACCCCCCATCGCTTTGTCTGGTGCCATCGTCCTCAAAGACATCGAAGACTCTCGTCGTACCAGGGCCTTCTAAGCCAGTCACGGAGGCAGTATCTCGGGAGGAAGGATAAAGAGCGACTTCCTCGGGGTAGTCAGGATAATTTCCAGCGGCTGATGCTGCATCATTGAGATAGAGTTCAGGCGAATTGGCTCGAGGGGGCTCGCCGGGTTCTAGGATTGGAGAGACCGTATTAATTCCAAGGGGCATGGGAGGAGGGTGTTTAAAATATGTCTTACCGAGACTCAATGTACTGCGTTCTTCTTGTGGCACATTACACCCCAGGGTGTAGTCTGCTTCATTTCTTTCTTCTGGGGCGTCCGATTGCCTCACTACATCGGTAGTCTGGGTTTCTGAGCCGGTTGAAGAGCGTCTCACTGAAGCTCTTGGTAATGGCTGCCAAAATCGTTGATGGTTCAGCGTTACCATGGTAGGTAGATTCAAGAGGTTCTGAATGAATGGGAATCAAAGCAGGAGGCAGTAAAATTCACGTTCGATGATATTTCAAACAAACGCTGCAAAGGAGGGATAGTTGGGACTATTTATTTGTTTCGATTCATCGTTTCAATCAGCCCGTGAGATAGAGCAGCGAATTGTTGACAGAATCGGCATAGATTCTGGATCTATCGACAAGGCCCCAGTATTCGCTGCAGCCAATCGCAGAGCCATTTCTAGGTGCGAGGGATCAGTTATAGGAAAGGGTTCCTAGGAATGCTAGCTTAATTCATTCACAGTGGCAGATATCTAGCCCGAAACTAAACTAGATCCGTCAGCCGATGTCGTCGACTTGCGTCACACGGCGCGGCGAGTTGTTCGAGACCTAGGTATACCACACAAAAAGAGGTTGCCCGAAGGCTGGTGCGAATGTTGTTCCTGGGATCAAATTGGCACAGTAAATGGAGGAACGAGGACAACGGTGAATTTTTGTGGATCGTTTGCTGGGTGGTGTCGGCAGCGTTAGCGAGAGAACGTATGAGAGGGTGTAGAGGTGAGGTGGTACTGAATATCTCATGCAAACCGAAGGGATCGAGTCAACCGATGGAAAGTTCGAAGAGGACAGCAAGTCACTGTAGCGACGTGGGAATACGTCATCTCCAGACCAGAACTCCCAGGAACACCGGTAGGCAGTGCGGTTACCATCGGAGCAGGCGAAAGCTAGAAGGCAAGACGGAGGGTGAAGGGAGAGCACCGGGGTGAGCGATCAGGTTGCTCACTGAGCAGCTCAGGGTCGCTCAGTGGGCAGCTTAGGGCGGCGGGGTGACTAACTCACCCTGGAATCCGGGAGCCGATCACTTCCCGAGGCGGCAATGTTACCGTCAACATTATTACAACACAAAAATTTTAATACCAATTAAAGTATAATAAAACATAAAACAACAAACATTTTGATGGCGACAAGGGTATAATGCAAAAAAAAAAGTGGCCGCCCAGTGATGGTTCGACTATCCCCAGTCGAAGTTCATCTTGTAGTGTGTACAATGCGCAAAATTATGTCCCCCGTAAATCACCAACATCTGGTGTTACTTCGGGCGCTCTAGTAAGGTCATTTCAACTGTAGAATGCGTATCAGACGAGTGCATCCGAGTCCGAGCACCTTCCTGTGACTCATCAGAGTTCACAGTCGACATTGTCTGGCGCATTGCCTCGTGGAAATCGAAGGTCCCGGTGCGTGCGGAATGAGGCGTTGGGGACATAGTATTTGTAGAATCGGAGGTAGTTTGCGCCTCGGTATCCTGCGATGGGGAACTAGCTGCGAGCATGTCGAAGATATTGATGTCGGCTGAACTACTCACATTTCCATGAGCCCCTTGGCACAAAGTGCACGAGTAAGTGCGTGTCAGGTCTCGGAGCTGCGTTAGGGCGAGGAATTCGAGTTTCAGCTTGATGCTGTAGATGACTGTCCTTGTGCAGGTGACGAAGTAGTGCTTATGGAATTCGGCGAAAATGATTAATACGTTGAGTAAGATGCCGATGACATTGACGAAGAAGATTCGGTAGATGATTCTTCGCCCTTGGGGACCTTTGGATTCGAAGACGGGCTTGAGCGCTCGGAGTGATTCGCGGACGTAGATGGCACACATTAATGTGTCTTGGCCGACGAATCCCACTGCCTGGAAACGGTCGTAGATGTATGCTGTGCGGCCGAGTGGTATATTATGATCACCGAGAAAGAATAGGACTGCCATGGGAATGTGGAGAACGAAAACATTGGCTATGATGAGCCATAGGACCCATCGAACATGGCGGACATCAGACACAATCAGGTGCAGTCTTGACCATAGCATTACCGCTTGTCCAGTTACCATGCACATCCAGCCAATGACAAACGGGACTGACACAGAAAGGCTAGAGGCTAGGTTGACATAGCGAATTTGACCTGGTACGGAATGTAACAAGATTCCCCAGGCGGCAATTTGCATGCTCCAGAAGTATAGCCCACGATACTTTTTGAACTTCTCAAGTGTGGCAATCATAACTTCAACTGCGTTCCACGATGAGATTGCGAACATGGACACTATCTCGACGGTCCCCAGATTGGAAATGAGAAGGCGACTCGCCTCCGGAGAGAGGTTGGTCATCGGGTTGTCCATTGGGTGTGAATGAGCTGGACGACGCGAATAAATCAACCGGTGGGAGAAGAGAAGGATATATTGATCACAGCTAGGACGCAGGTCCCACTTGGCTGATAGATACCATGGTGACTCGCCTTAGTCGCCTCATCTTAGTGCACGGGATGGGACAGGATAAGGTTGACTGTTGGTGTCAAGGGTGGATCGTGCCACTGCCGAGTCATGCCCCGTCGCATAAATGAGAGAAAATGCGGTAAATGCGCTCTATGATGCTAGCACACGGGGATCTAGGCCAGATATTCCGGTTCAATAGACAATCAATGATCGAATGGGGATTCCAAATCGGCCATTGGTGGTAATGATCGCTGGAAATATGAGAATCGCAGTTGCCCCTCCCCTTAATCATATTGGTTGAAGAGTTCATTGGACACAGCAAACGAAGGGTCGAATGTCGAGAGGCTATCGGCGCGCCAAACAGGGATTCTCGGGATCTCAAACAAAGAAACCCAACCAGAATTTGTGCACTGATCACATTTTTTTTCGCTAGTGGCGCGCCGTAATAGGAACCCAGGCCTCACATAGATGAATTCAGGTATTGCAAATAATGAACTCATGATCGAGCTGAAGATATATGGGGTAGGTCATAAAGAGAAGGAAGATAATGGGGATTCCAAAGGTTGACGTTGATGCTGCCTGAGGCTTGTCACCTACCCAGGCGTTGGAAGAGCTCTAGAGGGGTCAAAGCGTAGTACTGCATATGAAACCTTCTCCACGAAGTACGAAGGACGGAGTACTCCGTCTTCAAGTACAAGAAAAATTTATGTATAGATTCACGGTGAACCGTGGCACGTACCGCTTATCCAAAATTTCAGCTAAATGCTACCGTAGAAAGTAGATGCAACGCTCAGTCGCATCTAATTTAAAGCCCTTGCATTCTTGAAGGCATATATGGTTTATTTTATTGGCAGTCCTGAATCTCCACCTAGCCCTACGGATCCCTACCTATAAAATTGGGAGTACAACGAACGTTAAACGAAAATGGGGTCACTCCTGCGGGAACCAACGGCGTGGTGGAGAGATAGCAAATCAATACAATTACTTTTCAAAGAGTAGGCGAGCTGGGGAACCACGCACAAAGTAGTCTTCTCACATCACTCTGTCCATTTAGACCGCGGACCGCTCGGACAATAGGCAGCAAAAGCTGTTCAAAGGAGCCCTCCCTCTCGACACGATAAATCCTCTATGGAACTTGGTAAATGTTCAAGCTCTTTCAGAAACACATCTCGGTTTCATTTATGGCCATCAGTCCATCATTCCAATCTCCAGCGGATAGAGTAGGTAGAAGTGAAACCAGTGAAGGGCCGAAACACATATCGTCAGCACTATAGAGACCAGGGTTTATACTGACATATTTTATGTTCCGACCGTTGACTAGGAGGCAAAAGAAACTCTGATCATTTTCGTCAACTTCTGCTTGAAGCAATTCGATGTTTATTGAATTGCGTGTCATATTTTCGAGCAGGCCTTGGATAGTGAAAGCGAGTCATGAATGTGAAGATCCATGGACCACTATTTATATTTCAGTTCCTTGGACTAAAAGAACCGAAGAAGCCAGGAGAACAGCCCCTGGCTGAACACTATTGGCTGCCAACGCATCCTAGTTGAGTAGGTAGGCAGTGCATGCCAAAGACACACCTGGTCGAAATGAAATTATCTCGATTTCAAGATTTCTCCGCATGAACCTCAGAGCTTTCCCCCATAATTCATCGCTATCAACACTACGGAGTACGGAGTAGATATCTATATTCTTATAAGTATTTATAGCTACTGCCAGTTGATTATTTTATTACTAAAAATTAGGTTTATTATAATCTACTACTCCGCCAGTAATACTAAGGTTAAATAATTTTTTTCGTTTTATATGCAGACTAGGGGGACATACTACGTGCCAGATTAGCCAATGCATTGAGTATTCGAATGATGGTATCATAATGAAGCTACAATCTTGATTCATAATCCAGCTAAATAACACTAGAGAATATGATATAGTAATCGACAAATTATTCACAGGCGAGGACGGCCAGTAGCAGGGAAACAGGGGATATCATAACGGTCCAAATTCATAACCTTGTCCCAGGCAGCAACAAAGTCTTTCTTAAACTTATCCTGGGCATCGGAGCTGCCATACAGCTCAGAAAGAGCACGGAGCTCAGAATGGTGACCGAAGATCAGGTCAACACGGGTAGCAGACCACTTCTTGGCACCAGTCTTGCGGTCGAAACCTTCAAACAGCTCGCTGTCATCGCTAGTTGGCTTCCAGACAGTGTTCATATCGAGCAAGTTGACGAAGAAGTCGTTGCTCAGCTGGCCAGGGCGGGAGGTGAAGACACCGTGCTTGGATCCGTCCCAGTTAGCGTTCAGAGAACGCAGACCACCGACTAGGACGGTCAATTCAGGAGCGGAGAGGGTCAGCTGCTGTGCTTTGTCGACGAGGAGCTGCTCGGTGCGGACACGACGAGTCGAGTTGCCGTAGTTGCGGAAACCGTCGGCGAAGGGCCGGAGCCAGCCGAATGAGTCGACATCCGTTTGCTCCTGGGTGGCATCGTTGCGGCCAGGGGTGAAGGGAACGGGGATACCCGCGGACCTTTCAAGGGCGGCAGATCCAGCAAGCACAATTAGATCAGCTACCGAGACGCGCTTTTCGCCGTTCTGGGCACTGTTGAAGCGACTCTGGATGTTCTCCAACAAGCTGAGGACTTCTTGCAACTGGGCTGGGTTGTTGACATCCCAATCCTTCTGGGGAGCAAGACGGATGTGGGCACCGTTGGCGCCTCCACGCTTGTCACCACCACGGAAGGTAGAAGCAGATGCCCAGGCAGTGGCAATCAACTTGGTGGGCTCAATGCCGGATGAGAGAATCTCGTTCTTGAGAGCGATGATGTCGCCAGTGTCGATCAGAGCGTATGTGGGAGCAGGAATGGGATCCTCCCACAGAGAGACCTCCTTAGGGATCTCAGGACCCAGCCAGCGAGCGCGAGGACCCATGTCACGGTGCAGCAGCTTGAACCACGCACGGGCAAATGCATCGGCAAACTCATCAGGGTGTTCAAGGAAACGACGGGAGATCTTCTCGTAAGCGGGATCAAAACGCAGAGAGAGATCGGTGGTCAGCATCTGAGGCTTGTGTTTCTTGCTTGAGTCAAAGGCATCGGGGACGATATCGTCCGCATTCTTGGCGACCCACTGGTTAGCACCAGCGGGACTCTTGGTCAACTCCCAATCGAACTTGAACAGATATTCCAAGAAGGTGTTGCTCCATTTAGTAGGAGTACTGGTCCAGGTCACCTCCAAACCACTGGTAATAGCATGAGGGCCTACTCCAGAGCCGTGCTTGTTGTGCCATCCTAGGCCCTGTGACTCAATGCCAGCAGCTTCGGGCTCCTCTCCAACATTACCGGGAGGGGGGCAGCACCGTGTGTTTTTCCGAAGGTGTGACCTCCAGCAATCAAGGCGACGGTCTCTTCGTCATTCATAGCCATACGAGCGAAGGTAATACGGATATCTCTGGCAGCAGCGACAGGGTCGGGGTTTCCATCAGGACCTTCAGGGTTGACATAGATCAAACCCATGACGACCGCGGCCAGCGGGTCTTCGAGGTCTCGAGTCTTAATATCGCTCTGCTTAGCCTTCTCCTCCGCGGTCTCGGCCTCATAACGAGCCGCATTAGTAAACCAAACGTTCTCACTTCCCCAGTACACCGACTCATCAGCTTCCCAGACGTCGGGACGACCTCCAGCAAATCCGAATGTCTTGAAACCCATAGATTCTAGGGCAACATTGCCCGTTAGAAGCAGAAGATCTGCCCACGAGATTTTGCTGCCGTACTAAGTACCAGAATTAGTATGGAAAACATTATGTAAGCGTGTAAGTGAATAGGACTCACCTTCTGCTTGATGGGCCAAAGTAGTCGGCGGGCCTTATCTGAAATTAGAAGATAATGTCAGTATGATATAAATATCAGCTCATTTGTCGATGGAAACCTACCAAGGGAGACATTATCGGGCCAAGAGTTCAATGGTGCAAAACGCTGCTGGCCCTGGCCACCACCACCGCGTCCATCGAAAACTCTGTATGTTCCAGCGCTATGCCAGGCCATGCGGATGAAGAGACCACCATAATGACCAAAGTCGGCAGGCCAGAACTCTTGAGAGTCAGTCATAAGGGCGTGGAGGTCCTTCTTGAGGCCCCAGTAATCGAGGGTCTTAAAAGCCGCGGCATAATCAAAGTCCTTGCTTTGAGGGTTTGTGGCATCAGTATGCTGGCGAAGAATACCCAGCTTCAAGGCATTAGGCCACCAGTCAGTGTTGCTGGAGCATAAAATCAGTATTTGGAACCAAAAGGGGTAGGTAGTTATCTGGAATTTGCCGAGACAAGAAAGTTAGGGATCATACCGGGTGCCACCTCCAGCAACATTGCTCTTCTTATGTGCAACAGGACATTCACTCATGATGAAATTGTTATGGAAAATGAAACGGGGAATATGAAGAGGAAGAAACGGGAGAAGAGGACACCCCCGCAGTTTAAATGGTACACCGCGTGGTACACCGTGTGGATCCAATGACCGGTCGCATATTAAACAGCTTCTATATTTTGGGGCAGGTTTCCACGATATGCTAGCTTAAACGGAAAAAATATAAGAATATGACGCGACCTTAGATTTCTTTACATTATCATTGGCCATGCAGAGAAAAATCCGGGGCGTGCGGGGAAAGCCATAACGGGGAGCTCTTACAAATATCATTAATGATTCGTTGGCGGAATACGCCGAGACGCGATAGATTCCGGTCTTCGACTCTCCAATATATCATGCGCTGACAAAATAGCCATTTCTAGATGTTCTTATTCGGGGTATATGAAAAAAATTGTTGAATTGTAGGATACGTTAATTGCAGGGGTCTGGCCCTAACATCTGACTAATCATAGTGAGCCTGGGCCAGTCTTGGTGGTCTAGTACTTTCCAAGGTTGTAATCATATAATCGGGTCGTCGAACGCGGCCACCAGGCGGTGTCCGGGTTCCCGGGCGTAATCTCAACCCGGGCGTAATCTCACTTTTCTCCATTCCACCAAATAATTCATTGAATTTAAATAGCATCGCCTTCTAAATCAATACAATAAAGATCATCAATCCATTCCCGAGGCCTCTCTTCATCATGATCTGACCCAATTTGCCCTATATCCTCGATTTCTCCGTCGGCAATTGCTTTTAAAATAGCTGCATCCCGCCAGGCTTTCTTCGAACGATTGAATGATTGTAGCCTTTCCTTATCAACCCGATCATTTATGTGCTTTTTACAATCCTTAACCAAACGAGGGCCCATTTCCGGAAGCCTTCGTTTAGTCTTAGCTGTATTAGACCGCTTCTTGCGCCGTAGAATTCGCACGTTGTCTTCCGCAAACTGAGCCCCGACCTTAGCGAGAACGAGGCCACCCGCTAGTATCTGAGAGAGGCTTTGTCGCACCTTCGGGGAGATTGTCGAGTCATTTTGAATATGCTTTATAACCTTAGTGCTTGCCTTTCTCAATTTTCGTACTGTCTCGGGCGGGGTATTAGGCAGTGAGCTTGATAATAGTGGTGGTGTAGTTCCGGAAGCAATATCATAAATAATAAAACCGGGTATCATAGGTAGATCATTATCCTCAGTCGAAATACCAAGTTTGGTGAGGCCTTTATTAGAATCCATAGGCCAAATACCAGTTTCGCGGAATCCATATCGAATAGTACGCGTTGTAAGTGCCGACGTCCGGACATCGTAGATTCCCGCGAAGAAATTTGCCTTTGACCGCGCATCACCACCCCAAAAGGCTTCCTCATTATTATACTTCTTATAATAATGCTTAAGCACTTGAAATGGTGTATCATCGAGCGGTTGGCAGCCATGTATTGTGTGTGGGATAAAACAATAGGGGATAATTCGTTTTCTCCAACAAAATTCAATAAAATCATAGGTCAAGTGTAAACTATGATTATCCATTAAAAGAAGACGATATTCCCCTTTTTTAACACGGAAAGATGTGAATTCGTCGAAGACCTGAATCCAGGCAAAACTAATAATCTCATCGGTCCAGCCGTTTAGGGTTGGCCATATAGTATAGTCGTCGGGTAAGTTAGTATTGATAAACCAACTCTCCATATGGAATTGACCCTTAACTAAAAACCACGGTGGCATAACCCAACCATCGGCCGAGACGCATTCGATACCAGTAAGGGATTCAGCTTGTCCGCCGGTATTATTTTTGGAATTTCCCCGGGCTGAAACAACGTTCTGGGCCTTACCTTCGCCAATTCGAAACCCAGTTTCGTCGAAATTGTATAGATTCTTCTGTGCAATTCCGTAGGTTTTGAGCGTAATTTGTAGGCGATCGTACCAAGAAACAATATAACCAGGTTCACAGACTTCATATCGTGCCTTTTCCATCGGCTTTTGCTTAATAGTCTCAAAGCGTGAAGGTAGACGGGCGATAAAGTCGTACACCCAGTTTTTTCCGAGCGTGCGGGCGGGTTCATAACGTCGAACAATTTGTAGAGCAGCAGCCTGAATTTGCCCTGCGGTCGGGGGAGAATAGGCCTGGTCCAAGGTATCAATCCATAGAATTAATGCCTTCTCTTGCTCGGGGTCTAATGCTTTGTTGGTTGGGATACGATCGTTTCTAGACTTATGACCTTTGAGGCGGCCCCTCAGTATACTAGACGTAATGCCAAATTCTCGGGCGATCGCTGAAACGTTAGGTTTCTGGGTAGCAGAGCATGCTGATAAGGCATTAGAGATGCGGGCTTCTAATTCTTGAGACATAATATAGAGAATTGGGGGTGTAGTGAATTAATGAAGAAGGTGGAATGGAGAAAAGTGAGATTACGCCCGGGTTGAGATTACGCCCGGGAACCCGGACACCGCCTGGTGGCCGCGTTCGACGACCCGATTATTGTACCTCCTATATGCTCCGTACTTAACAACAACCCCCTAGAAATCTTGAAATTAGGTATACTCTGTATGGCATGTCCATATAAATTATAAACCATACAACGTTTAAAGCATATAGTTTCAACATTCTGCATAGCTATAGGCGTTGGCAAGGGGGCTACACAAAGTAGACGTACTCCATACAGACACTTCATATATGTATCCCTTCCCCCGAGAGTTTCTCCCCTCTTTGTTTCTTTCTCCCCTCTTTTGTTCCGTATATTAAACTCAATAAATAACCAGTGGTCGGGTAGTACATACCTATGTGTACATGATTTCCTCTGTGACTGGTTCGCTTTCCCTTTCCGTTTTAGTGCTCAGGCCTTGCCGCTTTTTTTCAGTTTGATGCCTAATAATTCAGGTATTATATCCTAAAAAGGAAATCACGAGAACGTTGGAAAGAAATTATATATACCCACACAGTTTGCACTTCCTATTCTTCTCTCCTCACTTTATTCGACCCGCTTGCCCAGTATGATGCCCTTGTTCCTATCAATTACATCAACTTTCATTGAAAAAGCTATTGCCAACCCTCCTACGTCATTCTGTGGAGCTCAGCCTGCGGGTCTAGCTAGGCTATATCGGAATGGAAAACTTGTTAGAAAATATTGCTTCACAATCCACTGGATCATTGACGAGAGAAACTCATCGAAGGCAGATTGCCTCAACCGCGATGGCCAGAGATGTTTTGTTGCTAGGCTCTTTAATACACAGTCTATCGACAGAAACAACATAAGTACTGGTAACAGTAACACATCATATACACATAAACTTGATATCCCCATCCCGTAAAATATCTGGCCAGCTAAATGTTCCTCCACACAAGCTCACATCGCGTCTTTTGGTCCATATTGTCTCAAATATCTGTTGAGCAACTGATGCATGAACCAACGCTGTCGTCCGAGCACAATTATCAAACCATGACGAAAAGAACACCTGTAATTCAGGACTAACAGCCTCACAAGCAGTGATAAAAGCTGGCCAGATCAGCGCAGCATTGCTACTATCCTTCTGATGGCTTTCCTCCTGTTGAATTTGGATTAGGTAGCCCCGAATTGCAGCGACCTTGCCCTGGAGCATTATAGGATCAATTTCGTATATTCGGCGATGGAAGAAAATTGATAATGCCGTGTACATTGCTTGAGCTGTTGCAGTCATGACTATTGAGAGGGTTTCATCGTAAGGTTGAACACAGCTTGGGTTTGTAGTGGATAGCAAATGATCGATAGCATTTTCCAGACCCTTTGCTCGAGTCCAAAATTCCTTCAGGCTGAGTCGACTTTCTGCTGCAGCAGACATCATTGAAAAATCTCGCTCGTTGGCAAGGCGGATCACTTGGGACAGTAGCATGAGAAATATTTCATCGATTCCGTATAGTGTGGGAAATAATGTTGAGCTCCATCGGCCGGGTATCGCGAGGTGGAGATCACGTTGTGCCATGCCTGGGTCTTTTTCCATGCTCATTGTGGTTGTCGAGAATATCAGATTGGGATAGACACGGAAGTCACCTCCATATATTGTGTTGTCGCTCAAGGTATCGCTTGTCCCGGAGGGAATCACGGTCAATCTATCAGCAATGCAGGTTGTCTCGGCCATAATTCGCATATAGGCATAACAGTGGTGCAATGCTCTTTTGTTGGCTGACAGCGCCGGTTGGCTGAGTCCCTTGACACAAATGAGTTTTTCTGTTTGGACGAGATAGGCGCGTCGCATTTCCGGGTCGCCTTTTATCATCTGTATGAGGGAGAATGTTAGCTGTGTACAGCAGATCTGTACCGAAGTCGTACAAACGCGTTTGAAAGACTGAGCATTGCCATCAGAATCTCCTTATATTTGCTCATCTTTGTTGCTGAGATACAGCTTTCTTCCATACATCTTTGGAAGTGGTATTGAGCGCGTGTCAAGTAAATCCCCCCGAGGCTTTCCAATACTCAAGGCAAGCCACTGAATTATTCCCCAAGTGAAAGGCACTTGTGCTCCATACAGCATTTAATAGAGCAAGCCGTGCATGGTTGGAAGACCCATTAAGCACCAGTTCTGCCACAGTGCCCATCGCGCATGGTATTACCAGACTCATCCAAGGTGTCTCCTTTCCACGGCGTAAAGGAGAAATTAAAGGGACGATTCGGTCTTTGTAATGAGATAACAGACTCCAGCCCTCAACATTACCTACGGATACATAGGGATTGAGCTCTGCTGGTAGACTCAGCTCGTGGAAATTCGCCCCAATGCTCTGAGGTGGCTCTAGACTGGGCTCTTCTGAGATCAAGCTCTCACCGTAGTCTGTATTCAGAGCATCTAGGGCGTCCAGACTGAACACTGACTGATTAAAATCTTCCTCTATTGGCAGCTCCTCAAGCTGCTCGAACCAGTCAAGGAAGGATGGAGGCAGCTCATCTGTATTGGAAGGTGATGGTTCAAGCTGCGGCGGTTGTGGGCATCTGAAAGCACCAAAAGGTCCCCGAAATAGCGAGGATGGGTTTGAGCAACTGATATCCGAGTCGAACCTTTCTAGATCAACAATTGCCTGGTCGGGATTCTGGTCGGGTACAGAAGAGATGATCTCAAGGGTCATATCTCGGCGTTCGACATCTGCCAAATATCGTCAGAATTAGCCGATTAGAGTTGGAATCGAAGGCAGACCTGTGAAGATCGGGTGGCGGTGCCTGGCCGCATTTCCTGAATTCAGCCATTGAATATCCTCTTTGTCATTAATAAATGTTAACTGTACAATTCCTCGCATATTGAGGGATGTTGTGCCTCGGGGAAGTTGCGGTTCTGATAAAGGACTCTTAGTCTTCGTTGGGACAAACCCTAAATGGGAATGTGATTCCGATATCGATATCGTAGACATCAACTATGTACCTGGCGGTTATCGAGCTTTATATTCGATACCTAGTAAGCATTATAACCAATTATTCTACAACGGTTTATACTTACGTCTAGGTAGAATCCTCCAGGTCGCAACACTCAATGGTTATATCTGAAAGTCCAAAGGTCAAGGCCTCGGAACTTCTTGCTCTATTGGGTCATTACCCCTCTTCTCATGGATGGTTATCGAGTCGTGTTCTTAATCTTCCAACGTCATTTTGAGCTCCAAGTAAACATTGTAGACGTCAAATAACAATACCCGCCTCAAAGGCTAGACTATGTAGATGTCTAAGGCGCAATAGTGTATTTACTCGAAAAGGAAGAAATTGTTCTGAAAAATTCCCTACATACCTATGATTCAGGTTCGATAAAAGTTATTCAATCTGAAGAGTAACCTAAGCACATAAATACATGTATAACTAGACGCCATATTATAACCAGACGGCTGCTTAGGAGAATAACTTGGCGATTCGCAGATTGTTGTAGTCCCAGGCTGTAATGTCCTCATATTTGCACGGAGTAGAAGGCGTGATGAACTTCTTCAGTGGAAACAAGGAAGCGATACGGTTCGGCTTCGCAAAATAGGCAACAGAATAGCGCTCGGGGATCATCACATCAGAACCCACTTTGATGGTGGGTGGATAAGTTACCCGGTGGCATGCAGCCATGAATGTATCATTGGTCAGGCGCTGAAGAGAGTCACCGATGTTCAGAATAATCTCCGACTTTCCCCCTGACACAACATCGTGGAAAGTTCCCAGATTTTGTTGATCTTCGACCTGCAAACCACCAGTGGAATCTTGAAACAGCATGGTAATCGTGCCAAAGTCAGTGTGCTCTGCAATGCGCGTGGCGGTTCCATCTTCTAGGGTGGATGCTGGCACAGCTGGATAGTGAAGCAGACGGAACTCATTTTCGGCCTTGTTGTGTAGCAGTTTGAGCTCTGATGCTGAGATATCAAGGGCCTTGGCCAACGCGTCGAGAATCTCCAACTCGACCTTGAAGCAGCTTTCATAGAAATCTTCCATAAATTTACGGAAGCCGGGAAGTTTCTCGTCGGCAACCCAGATGTTGTCCACAAGGTTGTCGTGTGGGGAGCCCATATCGAGAGTTTCCTGTCCTCATTAGGATGGATGTTCATGGCGGATTGCGCAGGAAGCGCTCACCTTGATATCCCGAACAGACTTCCCTTGAGCCAGACCTTTCTCGTAGCCACTAATGGAAGAGATTGATTCCTGGCCAACATAACTGTATCCACGGTTGGGGTTTGCCTCGGGTGGATGTTTGGCAGTCATCTTATCCCCTAGTGAAAGAGAGAAGAATCGACGGGTCTTGCAAATATAGTTAGTGGAGGTACAGTCTTTGGTTTCCAAGGTTAAGTTAATTGCTTACATGGTCAAACATTTTGGCAATCAGATCTTCTGGAAGCCCGTGGTTCTTTAGTTTGGCCACTCCACGCGTTTTGAGTGTGTCTAGTAGGGCTGCCGAAACCGCATCTCTTTCCTCGGGAGACCCTTTCAACAGGGACAAATCAAGAGCTTGCGACATGATTTCGGATATTGGTTCGGGAGATTTGTTTGGAGTTATTGTCTAATGCAAGGGCTTGCTAGATTTGGAGTTATGAGAAAAGCGTCTTTCACCCAACTATATATATTCGATCATTGATGTGGTATCTACAAGTAAAATTTTCCGAAAGACCTTTATTTGGAAAGTAATATTAAATTTACAATAAGCAGGCCTGTAAAGTATGGATTACCTTCCATCCTATCTTCGTCCTTCATATGAAGCAAAAGTCCCAAAAAGACGTTCGTTCCAAAAAGGGAGCGCACGCCAAGATTACCCCAACAACGCGTATTCCAATGAGGAAAACAACAGCTGTGGATCACCTTCCTCTTTACATTCGCTTGATTGCATTTGGTTTTGTGTTCTATAGTAGAGATAGGAAAGTAATGTCACTTTATCTCGGGTGTTATAGAAGTGTAGATGTATTTTCTTGTAACTTACATATATCTACCTCCTGTACATTCAATACAAGTCGCCGTGACATAGGATGACATGGGACTAGCCAAAAACAGCATAACATTGGCCGCATCATCAACAGTACCCGGCCGCCCAAGAGGAATATCCGACGTGTCCCTGAACTTGCGCGCGTTCGCAGGGATGCCCGTGACGATATTCTGCCCAGCAAGCATAACCTTCTCCTCTGAGGGGGCTTGGTTAACCGCGTATCCATCCAGCCATAAGCGACGGCGTTGCAACGGACATTGTATCTTCACCATGTTAGCGAGGCCATTCTAGCACAGAAGCCGTCTACACATACCTAGCCCACTCCGCGGCGACAGTCTTGGTAAGTCCCAAAATCCCGGACTTCGCCGTCGAATAGTTAATCTGACCCATTTGGCCGTGCAGTCCTGATGTCGAAGATACATTGATGACAGTCTTGAGCATATCAGCAGTTTGAGGATCCATCCAGTGCGCGGACAAGGCGCGGATCATCCGAAAAGGAACATAGTTGTGGATTTTCATGATCATGTCCCATTTTTCGTCGCTCATCTTGTGAATGGCGCTGTCATAACAGAACCCTGAAAAGATCAGTATTGGACATATAGATATGGTGATTGTTGTGTACCAGCATTGTTGATTAGACAGTTGACCTTCCCGAATGCCTTCAACGCTGCCTCTACTGCTTTTGCCGGGAATGCTTCGTCCAGAGCGTCTCCCACAACACATGTTGCCTCGTGTCCTGCAAGTCGCAGTTCCTTGATGACCTCATTGGCTTTCGTCTCGTCTACATCCGCAAGTACGATTTTACCTCCTTTAGACGCGAGAAGTGTTGCTGCCGCCCGCCCAATACCTGTGGAAGGTTAGTGAGGCATGCGAATAGTTCATAGAGCCCAACAGACCTTGCGCGCCTCCCATGATCAAAACGACTTGTCCATCAATCCTAAGCAAGTTATGAACTCGTTTCCTTCTGAAAAGACTAAAATGCATCTACCTGGAAGGGTCACGTGGTTGGTTGTCATGAGCCAACTGTTTGGAGATTTGTTGCAGTCGTTGAGCCATACTAATGATTCTTGACCTTTTCTGTTCTCTTGTGAATTAAAAATTTGTTTCTTTGGCACAGAACTTATTGGCGCCTTTTCTGTGCCATGGCCTTGTCACTCTGGACGGTGGCATCAAATTCCGCGGAATTATCGAGCACGTCGGAATTTACTTCGGAATAATTAGTCTAGAATGCTGTCACGGCTCACGAGCCTAAACTTTTCGGCCTATCGGAAATAATGAGTTCTAAAGTATGGAAAACAATGAAGAGCGATATGCGGCACGGCACTCGAATCTCGCTAGAGTCAATTGAAGACTTAAATACAATAGACTGCTACTAATGATACCTTCTCTAATTCCTCAACAACTTTGTTAGAATACCATCTCTACACAAAATGACTTCATCCGCTCTAACTTCTAACATTCCCTTTGCTGATCCATCCTGGCACAAGGATACAGCTCACCCATACTACAAGGATTCCCACCGAAAGCTGCAGCGCTTTATCCGAGAGTATATCGACAGCGAGGTCACACCCAATGCAGGAGAGTGGGAAGAACAAGGATATGTGCCTGATGAGGCCTTCCAACGTCACGCGCAGCTAGGCTTCTTGGCTGCTGCAGTGTTCCCACTTCCGAAGGATTGTCTTGAAGGGTTGACATTGCCTGCGGGGATTCCGGCTGACGGTATGTTTAAGACGAAGCCACTGGACAAACACCGCTGACAGTATCTTCTAGAGTGGGACGAGTTCCATGATGCTATTGTGAGTGTTTTGAGAACACACCGTATGTTCAATATTGCAACGAAGCACTGACACGAAATGAAATCTGATAGCTCATCGACGAGATCGCCCGCTGCGGATACTTGGGTGTTGTCTGGGGAATCAATGGCGGAGCTACTACTGGCGGTGCACCCATCGCCTCTTATGGTACATTTGAGCAGAAGCAGAAGTACTTGTCGCCGTTGTTGCGAGGACAGCAGAAGCACTGTCTCATGGTGACGGAGCCAGATGGTGAGCCAAATAGGGAATAGGAAACTGTGCGAGAGGCTAATGTTGTTTAACTGTAGCCGGCTCGGATGTGGCTGGTCTGACCACCACGGCGGAAAAGTCCAAGGATGGCAAAAGCTGGGTTATTAACGGAGAGAAGAAGTGGATCACGCAGGGGCAGTTGGCTACACACGCTCTCTGTGCTGCTCGAACCGGTTCGCCAGGTGCTAAAGGTATCACTGTTTTCATCCTCGATATGAAGATGCCGGGAATCACAGGAAAGAAGATGTACAACTCGGGTGTCAGCAGCAGCGGCTCGACGTTCATTGACCTGCAGGACGTTGTGGTTCCTGTAGAGAATATCCTCGGCAAGGAAAACCAAGGGTTTGAGATTATCATGTCCAGTACGTTCACAAATCCCTAGTAAATGACGACTCGGAGAGTACTGATTAAGGGAAAACAGCTTTTACCCACGAGCGCTTGTGGGTTGGAATTACTGCACTGCGTCTGGGTCGTGTCGCTCTGGAAGACAGCTACCGACATGCGCTACGACGCGAGACCTTCGGCAAGAAATTGTTCGAGAACCAGGCAGTTAGGCTCAAGTTCAGTAAGATGGCGGGGCTAATTGAACCTGTCCATTGTTTGATGGAAGATATCGTACACCGATCGACACGCACTGCGGCCCTTGCCTTCTCGCCGTGGACTGCACTGCTTAAATTCCAGGCTGCACATAATCTCGAGAGCATCTCTCGCGAAGCACAGCAGGTCTTTGGTGGGTTGGGATACTCTAGGGGTGGACTTGGTGGGAGAGTCGAGCAGATTAGTCGAGATGTCCGTGTTCTGGTCGTTTCTGGAGGAAGTGAGGAGATCCTCATGGATATGATTGCGAAACAGCAGAAAAAGCTGGCGAAGCTGTAGGTTTAGATGCATGAGTTGATAGCGTGATTTTACATATCAATGTTTACATCCAGAATGTTATGATTGATCAAATCTTCATCATTATCCATATAAAAAGGCTGTACAAATGATCCTTAGCCTAGTTTATGCTTCTCTTTACCCACTGAACATACACGTATAATCATATCTGAAAGGATCACCGAAAGATACACGGCAAGGTCGCATAAGCGGCTGACTATTCTTGTATTATCCAGTGTAACATCCGGAATTTTTTGCTTCATTTTCATCAATATATTATCTAAACTTAATCCTTGAGCATCATAGATTGAGTCCATAAAGTGGATCTTCAGTCTCCCAGTTCCCAAAATCCATTATCTGTGAGGGTTGCGCATAGAAACCTGTGAGGCTGATGTTGTGAACGTCATATACCGAATCGAATGGGAACTCGAGATCAAATGCGAAATCAGAATCGGCGTTCCAGTTGGTCGCTGAAATGTCCATTGGAGCATGACTTGGTAGCATTGCTATTGGGACACTTCCTGACCTTTTCGCAAGCTGTTTAACAATATCCGATAGCCCGCAAGTGTTCATTATGGCGGCCAGGGTGTTGCGACTTCGTTCCGCTACTGGATACCACGGTATAATCTCTTCCAATGTCTCCATGATAGCAGCTAGCCATTTCCTCTCTGTTTCTTTATCTTCGTTCGGCTCTGCACTCACGATATCAGATATCAAAGCAACGGCAGCTGAGAGACAGGTAGGGTTGATGGTGGAGAAGATTTTAGAAGCACCATGATGTTGCCTATAAGCCAGGAGTAGCTTTGACACCCGGACTGCATTCGCTGTGCAGATTTGCTGTGAAATTTTGGTCGTCTGCCCTTCTAGGCATCGGTGTCGGGGCGCTGATTTGGGACCGCGGTTGAATATATAAGTTGCAAATGGGCGGTTGAGGAGGATTGTTGTAGATAGAAATTGGAGATGAAGAGCACAGACGCTCGGGGATATTGAGCCATTTGAATCCCACTGCAGCTCTTGAGGAAGATTCAAAAACCATGCGAGAAGTTTTCGGCTCACTTCAGATAGTTTGGTCACAGAGGAGTCTTGGTATATCCTCTGAGGGGGGCCGTTAATTACAGATAGGACATCATTTAGTAGAGATGCTAGCTCGACCCATGTCGCCACGAGTTGGTTACGTGTGCCCAGAGTTTGCGCGGAGAGTCTGGTGATGTTGAGGTCGTCCAAACGAATGGCGGTTGGCCGGCCCTGAAATGAGCTGTATAATCTTCAAAGTTGTTAGTACCCCCGGGCAGAAATAGCGCGAGAGGGAACTTGCTTGTCAAGAACGTAACATCCGTAGAGTGTCGCCTGCCGGACGCGTTGATCAACCTCAGTCAGCAGCCCAGCAGTTACCAGGTTCTTGCAGTCTTCATGTAAACCAAAATCGAACACTAAGCGGTACGCTATGCCTACAAATAATCAGCAAGCATAGACCAGATATGTGCTGTGGCTGCATTGGGATAACAAACCTGGGTAAATCCAGCACGCCCTGTCACTTCCCAATCCTGCCAAATAGTAGCCAAATAGGCACAAGCCCGGAATTGTGGCAAGAGTCGGATTCTCCATCTCAAATAGCAGTTCAGCTTTCGCTCGGCGGGTGTAAATAGTTGCCAAGGTTTCTCGGTGGAGTAGATCATCATCGAAATTCAGCGATCTCAGAAGTAGCGAGTATAGAAGAAACCGTGAGAAGTAATCTGACCGTTCCCCTAAAATATACCCTTCTCGGAAGGCCTCCTCGTCGATAATGGGTATTGCGGCATTCTGGTAATTGAAGAACAACTCAATCAAGCGAGTTTGGGTTTGGGGGCTATCGGCCATTGCCTCTCCATCGATGTCGATAGCGTTATCGCTTGGTGAACATGGGACCCTTTGTCCCGGGGAGGATTTTGTTTTTGCTTGAGGAAGAATAGAGACCATTCTCATGTAAGAAGAATAACCGAAGTACCTTAATTGACCGTTGTTATCCACTGTTAGTGGAGAATTGTCTGTTTCTTCCAAAGGATCCTCAAGCTCGTTCCGTGGAGTTCCGTGAGTGGAAGTGTGATCAGAGCTGGACTGAGACGATCTTCTGGCGAGTCCTGCTGGTCGCAACCCCATTTCACTTTCCATGACGTGGAGGTTGAGAACAACTTCACTCTCCATTGACGCTGGAGGCTGACACTCATGGTGTGCGTCTACGCCCGAGGGAACTGCATGACGGGGTAATTCAGCACGCATATCGAGAGAAGAGCGCCTAATAGACTGTAGGCGATCGCGAAGTTTCATTATACTCGAATCCCGTCTGCCCAGTACAGGGGAATTGTTTCTATGCCTGCGGTTCTTGCTGACACGATCACCATGGCTAGCAGTTGAGCTTCTCTGTCTGGGAAAATTAACACTCGACATTTTTGAGATAAAAATGCTCTTTCACCTCAAGATTGGGGGAATCTGAATGGAAGCTCTGTAATTCCGACCTGATTTACCGATTTGCGTTGCCGGGGGAGAAAGCGGGGGATCATCCTGGATTGGGCCAATAGGGCGGTCTGCTATGTAACCGTTGACCCTGGGCAAATCCTTTGCTCGTTATTCTCACTCCTATTGAGCATGACACGCCATGAGTCCTCAAGACTCTAATCCCCCGAAAAGGCCCCGAAGGGACAAATATATCTCTCGCGCATGGTAAGCTACCCCCTTCCCCCTTCGGATTCTCCAACAGTAACCAACGGGCATCTGCAGCCAGGCGTGCCAACGCCGGAAAAGCAAGGTATGATTTAAATCAATTAGCAAATCGGATTCTTCTAATTCAGATTGCAGTGTTCTGGTCATGATCCCTGTCTCAGTTGTGAAGATCGAGACCTCACATGCACGTACAATACCGGGAAACGCCGTTCAAAGAAAACTACTTTGAGAGGGCGACATCGGGTTGCGAAAGTGACAATACCAGATGGAAGAAGAAATTCTCCTAGCCAAGAATCCGGCTATAGAGCACCGTAGTTATCACCTCCCAGTCCCAGTGGACAAGACGCCTAATGATCATTTAGGCCAGCGATTCTGGAAACTGCTGAAGTGCGAGAACCGGAACCGTTACTTCACCCGCCGGTACATGCGAATCCATCTCCTAGGCCATGTGTTAGGAATAGTCTGTACAAATGTGTTGGAAAGGATCCCAACCCCATCTCTTTACGATCCCAAATCTCAGAAGCACGAGCTTTGTTTAACCCCGGAGAGAACACAGGATCCGAGAACGGGGAAGGCTTGTACAATTGCGGAGAAACCTATTTCATTGAGTTGCCTGCTTTCCCCAAAATTCAAGAATTACTAGACATTTACTCTGAGAATGTGGGTAGGCACTATCCTGCCATTCAGCTTCAAAGAGCCAGGTCTCGCATACATAAAATTATTGAAGACTTGGGATATTCTCCATCTGCTTGCGGAATTGATGTTCACTACGTCGCCGCACCAACAGTTGCGTTGTTGTGCATCATCATCTCTATTGCTGAGGTGACTGGGATTAACAGCTCGTCTTCCAACTCTCGGGCTACGATTTTTGCAAACCATGCTCGCAGCTTAATACAAATGGCTGACAAATTTTCTTCAAATCTGGAAGCTCTTCGATGCCATACCCTGATTACCATATACTTTCTGCATATGGACTTTCTGGATCTTGCCCTGCAGTCTATTGCTGTCACTGTTCGACTAGCAATGTCCCTTAAACTTCATCACCGATTACCGTCTCCCAGAGAAGGAAGCGAAGGAAGCGACTCCTATGACCAAAATCTGTGGTGGACAATCTACATCCTGGATCGTAACCTCGCATGCCTTGGTGGAGTACCTTACCTCATCAGAGACGAGGAAATTGATGCACCGAGACCAGCGCGGAATGGTCAATTCAAAAGTTTCTCTGCTGTCATATGTATCAGTTGCTCGAACGAACCTGACGAGCAAAGTGGGCCGATGGAGAAAATATTTCATCAGGAAGCCACGTACTTGGAAGCTCTAGCCCATCTGGGGCGCATTTGGGCTTGTATTTGGAACAACTTAGCTACTGATAGATCTGAACCTGTCTGTCAGTGGCAAACGACAGAAGCCTTGGATACCCAGCTTCGCATTCTTCAACAACAGCTCCCGGCTGAACTCGTTTGGGAAAGTCCGTCAAGCCTGAGCAGAGACCTAGAGATACTGCAGGAAACTGCAATGCAGCGACAACTGGTTGTTCTGATGGTATGACATTCCCCTTTACTCGGTATTTCTATCCCGATTACCCCCAAGGTACTGACTGACCTTTGAAATAAAAACCAGCGTATCAATACTCTCCGACTATTTATTCGACGAAATCCTGCTTCGAAGTGTACATGCCTGGACAGGAAATCCCCGCACGATGACGGCACAGCAATTTCAAGGAAAATCATCGAAACAATAATCGATTTCAGCACACTTCATCATGAAGGCCTATTACCAATCGGGCACGCTATCACCACAACTCTCGTCCAATGCATCCTATACCTGATTAAAGTCATCGATGAGTCAACCGATACGGGCGGAACGGAATCAGCCTCTGCTTCTGTAGTGTCGGCTTATCAGGTGTTAGTCGATCTGTCTGACCATTGTGTCTCTGCAAGGAATGCAGTTGAGACACTTGATGAGGCATTATTCCACCACGGAGACGGGCCAGCTCAATCTACCGCCGTAATCTTATCATGCGGTGGCTCTGGTAGTAGTAGCCATTTAGATGGGTTGGAAGGCACCCGTCCACAAGGACCACGTCGGATAAGAAGGAAAAGTAGTACTTCGGCTTCCAGCGAGGAAAATACCCGCGGACACGACCTTTTTGATTGCCTGCAAAAGAGTTATGAGAGCCTAGACAGCTTGCTACCGAATACAGTACCTACTCTATAGCGATGGATATATAACGCTGAGGAAATTGTCTCATTAGATTAGAGTACTGCAACTCATATATGAAAGTATGTTCAAGGGAGCAAAATGCTGTATTGACTATTGGTCTATAGCTTTGACTGCAGTGGGATACATCCAGTATCATCTATATCTTTGAGAAGCCGTCTGAGCAGCTTTCCAGTCGGGCTCTTAGGCAACGAATCGACAAAAATCACCCCTCCCTTCAACTGCTTATAGCCAGCTACCTGGCTCGCTACAAACTCAGTCACAGATCGCGCGGCCTCTTCCATATCTCGCCCAGTCTTCGCCAGCGGCTTCTCCGATACGATATACGCGCGTAGGAGGTCGGTTGCGTCGCGTTCACTCCACACACCGTGTACGGCCGCCTCTTTGACAAGTGGATGGTGGACGAGTATCTCTTCGAGCTCAAGAGGTGAAACCTGGAATCTATTGAGATAGAGTCAGCTTCGGTTGTGGCATAGATATGAGAGAAGATATTTGCTGTAGTACCCGTTTGACTTGATGATGTCTTTTATACGACCGCTGACAAAGAGAAAGCCTTGTGCATCTAAGTACCCTATGTCCCCTGTCTTGTACCAGCCACCATCTAGCATATGCTCTCTTGTGGCTTTGGGGTCTCCCAAATACCCCCTGGTGAGTGGTTGTCAGAATTGATCCCAGGATAATTTTAACAGAATTCTCACATCATAATATGCGGGCCCCGCAAGGTGATCTCTCCTGGTGCGCCATTATCGACATCATTACCAGTAGAATCAATGAACCTTATCTCGGCGTTGGTAATGAGCTTCCCCGTCGCATTTAACGGCATGTCTTTGTCGCGAGTGCCGGATTGTACGCATGCACCCGAGGCCTCAGTGCAGCCATACGCTGCAACCCGATTAGCGTTTGCTGCCAGGTCAAGGCGTATTTCAAATGAATTTGTGGATGCACTTACTTTGGCATAGTTTCACTCCGGGGAATACTGTTCTCAGATCCCCGGCAGTTTTCTCCTACACGGCTGTCAGTTACTCGACATCAACGCCACAACAGTAGAATACTTACACTTATGGGAGCAGCTGAGCATGTAAAATACTCTAAAGCCGGGTATGTGTATCGACGGGTGACCGGGCTTTCGGCAAGCATTTTCGCAACAGGAGGAACCAATCTAGCCAGTGTTGCCTTTCGCTCCGACAGAAGGCGACAATATGTTTCCAATTCAAACCGTGGCATTAGACATACGTAATAGCCTAGCCAAGGAGCTCCTGTAATGGCGACATATAGTGCATAGACATGAGATAAGGGCGGGAAGAAAACCTCGCGCATGTCACTCCTCCAGTTGTCAGGGTTGTCCGCACGCAATTGGTAGTTCACAGCGATGAGGTTGTAATGGGAGAGAACAACAGCCTTGGGATGGCCAGTGGTTCCGCTGGACAGAATAATTGCTGCAGGTACTTGTCGGTTGTCGCCACTTGCGAACGAGTGAGCCTCGATCTCCGGAAATTTCCCTTGGCCAACAGCCTGTTTTGGCCAACTGGACCATTGGGGATGAGCTTCCCCAAGTCCAATGATCTTGATAGCTGAGCTCGCTGGGCTGCTCAGACCGAGGCTCTTAACAAGTTTGCTAGAAGCGGAACTGCCCACAACAATGTAGTCTGGCTTGACAAGCTGAATACCATATGCAATTTCGGTTGGCGACAGAGAATCATTTATCAAAGAAACAGCACCGCCAGCCCACCATACAGAGTGCACGGCGATGATATAATCGATGCAGCTGGGCGATATCACGCTTACGACTTGTCCAGGCTTAAGTGCAAGAGCTTGCCGTAGCCAGGCCGCCCCACTCTTGACCAGGGCAGTGAATTCGCCGTATGAAACCGTCCTACCGCTGATGGCTTCCTCAAAGATGATTTTGGTCGGAGATATGGCGGTTGAGCTGTTCAGCAGCGTTGCTTCGGTCACACTGAGGTGGGTTGGGATTCGTACCCGGGTTTGGGAACGGAAGATGCGAGGCATGGTGTCGAGACTTCTCTGGCTAACTTACCAAAAAGATGTGAAAATAGGCTCTTGTAAGTACAAATCATAAATTATAAATTAAGCAACTCATTGTGCGTGTCGCTCGTGCCCCGGAATAGATAACACTTAGCGACATCATCATTTCCGAGTTCGGGGACCTTTACCAGATTCAAAACTCCTAATAATCCTTAATTTTGAAGTATGTATTACCGATCAAAAGTTTCCCTGACTGAAATCAAATTCCGATATTCCTCCAATTCCGCGGAATGCACCCGAATATGGTAACCCCGAGAGTCGTCTTTGGAAAACCGCACCTCTTGATTCGTGAAAAGAACAATAAGGGCAAAAAAAAGCCAATTGGTAAATAAATCACAAGCAACGCATGGATAAAAAATATGATGTTGTTTCTTGGTCATTATGTGGCCTATTTCATCCAGCAGATAATTAAGAGCAGATAGCAAGAACGCTTTAAACTAGGCGTTCGCTCTTTTACTAATTAGTTTCTGGATAGAGTTTGAAGCAGAACCGATTATTCGGAAGAAATATTGGAAAGTTGACAGACTTATTTGAAGTTTGTTTATGAATGCCTGAGGGTTTCGTGATATATTTGTATGATCCCGTCACGTTCGCATAGCCACCACGTTCTCCACTTCCTGAATCTCAGCAGTCTCCTTTCGGGGCTCAACTTCCATATCCTCCATAGGGATTTCTTTTCTATCCAACTCTTGTTGATACACCGCCACTTGATTTGCATCCCCAAACAAGGCCGCAATCTCTTCTAGCGGCTTATGCCTAGTGTCATGGTAGGTGAAGATGATTATGACAGCCGCGATAGCGGGCACGACTATAAAAATGGTGTAGAACTTCCAACCAATAGCCTCGAAGGCATATGGCGCAGCCTCAAGCCACATCAGGTTAGTCAAAGCAAATGTGCACATGGCAAGCGCCAGACCCTGAGAGCGGGCGTAGCTCGGCCATATCTCAGTGATATAGAAATAAGTTGGCCCATCCAAGAACGCACAAAAGGTAGCTTGGAATAGCATGATAATGGTGGCGCTCGCGATGAGTCCACCACGGTTTGTACTCCCTAGGTAGAAACGTTGAAGAGCGGCTTCGATTGCCATGAGGACTGCACAGACTGCAAGTCCGAAAGAAATGAACCAATGTCGGGGCACACGGTCCACCCATAGCATGGAAAGAGCGTTAGTGACAAATCCAATGGATTGGAATCCGACTTGAAAGCCCAGAATCTGGACTGTGTCGAAGCCAAGGCTTGCCCATACCACAGATCCATAATCTGGATAAAGCGTTAGTCAGAATGTTTCAGACCGGGTATTTGACTCACTCAGAATTACTAAAACGCCACAACTGTAAATACTAAACTCCAAAAAGATCGTCATGATAGCTCGCTTGCGTAGGGACGTGTTCGTGAAAATACCCCAATACGAGGTCCGGAAGCGAATATCCAGCTCGATCTGCTTCCTCATCTGATAGAACTCCCTAGTCGCAAACTCATGGGTATCAAGATCATTTTTGTCGGCGTGGAGACGCTTTACAACCTCCCACGCCTCCTCAGTTCGATCACGGGAAAGCAAATAGCGAGGCGACTCGGGCATCCAGTAAATCCCACACAGAACGATTGTCGGAAGTACCATTTGAATTCCAACAATCCCTCTCCATTGGTTCTCTCCTGGGACAAAATAGAATCCTAACCCCACAAAACTTGCAATACAATATCCAAATAGCATCAGAAGAGCATGGGCATCAGAAACAGCACCACGGATTCTGGGTGGTGCAAGCTCGGCAATCCAAACTGGAACACTGTTTTGGATAATGAATGATCTAGATTCAAATAATCAGCCTTGAAGAGCGAAATATGTGGCGCTGAATCTCATACCCTAATCCGTTGAAAAGCCGGAAGACAATGAACATAGACGGATTGACTGAACCTGTGAGCAAAGCTCCAGAAACGATGATAATTGCGTTTCCCACTGCCGCAGTGAGCTTTCGGCCAAATCTATCGCTCATCCATCCTGCCAAGAAGGCTCCAAACACGGCACCTGCTTGGTATATACCTAAACGGTCATGTTAGCTACTGACGCATATCCATTCACGTCCTCTGCTACTGCTAAACTGCTCACCATTGATTGTTCCTGTAATAGCACTAGCGTTCGGGTTGTTCACAAGTCCCATGTCTTCTTGAAAGGACGGCTGGGTTAGGGTTGTGGCAATATTGGCAGCCGCGTAGCCATAGGCCGCCGAGCTGAGGGTGATGAAGCCAATGACGACAATACTGTATACATTGACATGATTTTGGGCTCGGGAGAGATTTGCAAAATTTCGATCGGCCATTGCAGTATTCATGCATCAGAGAGCAATTATTATTCACTTGTAATATCTGAATAGTAGTTCATACTCCTGTCAACTGGGGAAGACATCCTTTTATCGAGTGGATCAATGAATCTGGGAACTTTATTTGAACCAGGAAAGTTAATCTTAGTACCCCGCGTCCCCGCATTTTCTTTAATGAGACTTATTTGGTAGGCTTTCATAATTCCGAGACATAGCCTGTAGTCAATTCCGACCACCAGGACTGTGCAATCTAGAAAGCAACTTGTCTGTGTGGTTGAATGTATCTGATCGGCAAGTTAAATCGGGAAAATGATATTTTTGGCCCTTTCTGAAGGTCTAGACAGTTAATTTGCTAAAAGAATTGCGAAATTTTGCATGGTATAGATATGATTATGATTAAGCCCGAGACGAATATTATGGATGATAATGCTATGAATACATGGATTTGTGGTTTCAGCAATATTAATAAATTAGGTCAGACTCCTGGTGAATGTGTGACTCTATCCCTACGGTAAAGATGACAGCAAATAGCAACTTGATATCGAGCTTCCGATCTCTATTATACTGCGTGATTACTGAGTCAACAAAAACGGAAGTGAAGAAACTTTGGATTCGATCACCATTCTGATCAATGCTAACTTATGATGACTCGAACAGTATCATTTTATTCCAATAGTATGAGGTGCCGGGGTCAATTTAACGTTCAAACTACCTTTCTCCCAAACTACAAATGAGGACTGCTTGATCCATTGTTCAGAATCGGGAGAAATTTCCATATCAAAGTTCCAAATAATTCGGGCCAGGATCAATCGCATCTCCGCGTACGCGAGACTAACTGAGATCAGTAACTAGATATCTTGCACTTCCTGAGATTAAACGTACTTGCGACCGAGACAGTTGCGTGGCCCCACGCTGAATGCTTGGACTGCATTTCTATTGTCGGATTCAAATTCGGAGGCCCCCATAAACCTCTCTGGGATGAAGGAGTCGGGTCTCTTGAAGTTCGCTGCGGAACGGTGGGTGGCCAGTATCGGTACTCCGACAGCCGTCTGAACTCTGTCAGCCTTTGAATATAGCGTCATTGCCTCAATATTTAACTTACTCCCCCGGGAACCCATCTCCCGCAGATGAAATCCCCTTTGCCCTGGACCATTCGTGGGAACCCATACGGGACAGGGGGGGTACATACGAAGACCTTCGTTCAAAACAGCGAGGGTATATTTGAGCTTATTGACAGCAGACCAGGTGATCTGGTCCTCTGAAGTGAATGCACCCCTGATCTCTGCTTTGAGTTTGTCGAGAACGCCAGGAACAGTAAGTATATAGTAAGTCACACCGGACAACAAAGTGGCAGTGGTTTCCGATCCTGCAATGATGAGCACATAAGAGTTGCTTACAAGCTCATCTTCGCTCATCCCCTTCTCAAGTGGTTGCTTCAACACGTTGCTGAGGAAGTCCGGGCGCCCGTTGTCACCATTACCCATGCGCGCCTTTACTTTCTCCTTTGTCATCTCATTCTGATGTTTCTTCTGCTCTTGAACCTCTTTTGGAATGATCCATTTCATGAGGAGGTTTCCAGCTGGGACACGCCGCAATACGTTCGCCCATGCAGCCGTGCGGAAATGGCTGAAGATGACCGAAACCCAAAAATGATATTGAGAATTTTGGAGGCACCCGAATGATTCCCCAAATGCTAGATCCCCTATAATATCGAATGTAGTATAGTTATACCAACATGTCATGTCGACAATGGTACTGCCGGACTTAGCGAGTCCGTGCAGCCGTTGAACCAACAGGTCAACATAGCCCTTGACAATAACTTCCTGGCGCTGAAGACTGCCTTCCGAGAACCCATGAGACAGCGAACGTCGATAACGAGCGTGAGTTTGATCATCGGTTCGAAGAATGCTAGGGATGTGGTTTGGGCCGACGGATACATGACGTTGGTCCTTTGGGCGCTGGGGTTTGCCGGGGCGAATCGCAAATATTTCTTTCCATGCTTCCGGGTCCGTGAAAGTCACCTCATTTGGAGCGATGCGGACTGCGTCACCGTACTTTTCATGTAGCTTTTTTGCGTCCATTGGGAGGCTGCCGCCCAATACAGATCGAAAGAAAGGGAGCGATGTGGCTGCATTTGCTTTGGGGCCCGGAAAAGATGCCAAAGGATGGAAATAAAGATTATAGATGATCCATCCGGCCGAGTAGCCAACGCTCTGGAATCATCAGTGTTTTGAAACTATCTAGGCACATCATCTGTGATAACTAACAAGTAGCAGCAGAAGTATACACCCGCCAAGCACTGGATTGATGTTTGCAATTGACGAAGGCGTCGATGAGATAAATCTCAGTAATACAGTCATTTTAGTCGATATATTTCTCCCAAATTTGTCAAAAGGGGGATTCCCAGCATGCAAATAAATACAAACCTGTAGGCCTCTGTGCTAGGAATTATCTCTAGAAGCTAAGTTCGGAATATTTACAGGGATCGCAACATGGCCAGCCATCGGAACAAAATCGGAATTCTTTTGCGGAAATTGATTCGGAATTAGAGAAGAACAATATCACATGTACTTTTTAGCTACGGTGCCCGCTGCACCAACAGGATAATCGCTTGTTTATTCCCGTGCATAGCGATTTCTCAACAGCAAGCAATCTGCAAATATATGGGATACTAGAAACAATTCGATTGTGGGGGTCCCAATAGTTACAGATAGATTGTAACTAGTGAAAGGGATTGCATTCAACGATATGCTACAAAACAATACACTAGCATGACAAATTATTGGATGCTTCAAAGCACTAAGGGTTTGTAAAGTGTTCACTTGCACTTCTGACTTTGTCTGCATTGGAAAATATCGTTTTTCGATGTTCCCCTCGTCCTTGTTCCACTCACAATCAGACCATGCTGCATAACACGTAGGAAACTTGCTTACGACGGCCAGAAGTTCATCCCTCGGACCTCGCTGTACTATTAAGGTCCTTAACCGGGAAGCCCACTGTGACTTTCCTCTTACTGCTCTAGCTTGATGAACGGCTATACGATGTTAGGGCGGCGGCAGGCAGCTGCTTGAAAGTAGGAGTAAAAGTCCGCATAGGCCTGTTTAACGGGGCCCTCCTCAAGTACATCAGCCTGCTGTTGAAACAAGGTCATGGCCGAATTGTAGCTGAAATCATTTTCAAGTGCAATGCGATCTTCCTCTACCTCAATACCTAGAAGCAAAGATGCAAGCCTTGGACTCAGGGTTTGCATAAGATCTCGGATAACAGTGCCCTCAGATGGTGAGATATTGCGTTTGACCACTTCCACAGCCAGACGGTAGTGACGCCACCTTTGATGCATGGTCTCCATTGTACCAACTGCGGTAAATAGCTCCCAGTACCTGGGAGACGATTCAATGGCCGCTAGCCCAGCCCAAAGACGCTTGAAAGAAACCATAGTGAGATCGCCAAGTTCTCGGTCCGGTCTTCGCTCATTTACAGTTTCACTCCCAGCTGATGATGAGTGTGATGAGAACAAGAGGGGATCTTGAGTTTCATTACAGCTGTTTGACCTTCTGCGCTTGCGCCAGGTAGTGATTGCTTCAGTCGTGTTTTTCCGAATTGGCACATGCTCCCACTTGATCCCAATGAAGTTAATGAAATCATTGGGTTGCCTTTTAAACTCCACATCAGGGGCCAACTTGTTCTTTCAAGCCGTGTGGAGCCATTGGTCCTGTTGAATTGCTTAATTTGCGTCGGTGGCGTCGGCGCCAGGACCAATAGGGGCATGAAATCCAAAGAGAAGACCTATCTTTTGATACCCAGATACGCTCTTCCCTGCGAGTACAAGACAATATCCCGAAACATCGTTGCAGCCCCTGAGTAAAATCCCGTACCGCTGATAGGCATGTTTCCATGGATTCTCCATCGAATTAGGATCGTGGACGATTAACTTTTTTGGTTGGTACTCGGTCAACTGGACATTGAGGGCATTGAAAATTTTCACATGAGACGATAGGACCACCAAACCAGCTTGGAAAAATGGTGGTCCATCCGGGTAATTGTCGGCCAGCAACCATCCGGCATCATTGTACCCCCCTGTGAAAACGTAGACACCTTTCCATGTGGCAAGTGTCCGCTGATTATTTTGGTAAAAGCCCACAGTGGGTGCTTTGGGGACTCGTTCTTTACGTACATCCCCTCGCTGATCAAAGTCGTAGGTCAGGTACCGGATGCGATAATCTGTAGGCAAGGTCAAAAGGGCATAGATGACACCTGCATCCGACAGCCGGACGTTCTTGGGGTTCCAGTTGCACCAGCTGATGCCCACAGTCTCTTGTGCTTCAATTGAGGTGCAGTCAAGGGGATTCATAATTTTCCAGTCACGGAGGGAGGCTAGGTGTTTCTGGCTTGACACGATGCCTGGGTTGAATCCAGGGACATCGCCCTCTTTCCATTCAGCTGGGTCATTGCATTTATTCTCCCACTCCTGTTCGATCCACCTCTGACACATCTCACGCCACTGCGATAAGTCCCTCAGCCAGTCTTCAAAGTTTCTCGTGGAAGGGCACGCCAGCTCGGAAGCTTGGGGGAAGATAGGTGGAACCACCACGGATGTTAGTTGACCGGTGGCTTGGACTTAAAGGTGCTCGCTCAGATGTTTCAGTTTCTGAAAGAGAGATGGATGGGGAGGTCACAACAGGTAAATGTCTGGCGTGAATTGATAAGCAGGTTGAAGAAGAGTAGGTTTGAGAGACAGCGGAGGAAAAGTAATGGAAATATAGAAGAGAAAGTGGGACGTTGAAGATGATGACTGGTATTAGTGGGGAGATGAGAAGAGATGGAGAAAAAAAGAGAGATGGAATGAACGTGATGTAGAAATTCAGACTCAGTCTGATGTTCTCAAGGGTTCAGAAGGGTTCTCAAGGGAAGTAAGTATACAACGCCCAAAAGGGAATCGGCCAGGCCGACGGTCATTGGACCAAAGCTGCGTGATGGCCGCTGCGGGATGCCGTAGCTCCCCCTCCAACAAACAGCTTCCTGGGTATCGCTTGATTCCTCTCATCTCCCTTCTCTTTTCTTTTTCTTTTTTCTTACACTTGGCATCCTATTTTTAAAGTCTCATTGGAGACTTGTTACTCATCATGGTTTCCACGGGTCTGAGTAGTGATGGTGCTGCCTACCGGTCTCGTGGGTACCAGCTCGAAATGTTAGAGGCTAGCCGCAAGGAGAATATTATTGTCGCGGTATGTTTTTTTTTTCTTATTTATTTTTAATGAGACCTTTATACGATGCTGACTATTACTAGATGGATACAGGGAGTGGAAAGACTCATATGCATGTTTGAATGTGATATTCCCTTTATCGGCACATTTTTCTGACATTTTTCTTGCAGTGCCATTCTTCGAATCATACATGAGCTCGAGAACTGTGGCTCTCCGAACAAGGTGAATAAACATGTTAATTCTTATACTTATCTTCGGCTCACATCTATCTCAGCTTATCTGGTTTCTTGCTCCAACTGTGGCATTAAGTCTTCAACAACATGAAGTTATCACTAGCCAAATCCTCTCAGTGAAAACTAAAGTTTTAACTGGTCTGGACAATGTTGATCGATGGACTGAACAGGGTGTCTGGGACAAAGTTCTCAAGGACGTCCGTGTTGTTGTTTCGACATATGCTGTCCTTGCTGATGCTTTGGGCCATGGTTTTGTTCGCATGTCCCGACTTGCACTCCTTATCTTTGATGAGGGTATGTGACACATTTCAAGGCACCGCAGAGTCCAGACTAATATACCATATAATACAGCTCACCATTGCACTAGACGCCATCCGGCCAACAAGATTATGCAAAATCACTATCATCCTACCTTGCTGAGGTCAGGCCCAAATGCTGTACCTCGGATCTTAGGACTCACCGCTAGCCCAGTGGTCCGGTCGAGCCAAAACGAGCTTGAGTTAGTCCACCTAGCTTATGCTAATGAGTATCTCCGGCAACTAACAATCTTGCCCAGAATAATCGAATCCAACTTGAACGCAGTATGCAAGACCCCACGTGTCCATCGCACGGAGCTCTTGGAAAATACCCATCGCCCTCACTTAGAACGTGTTAATTACATACCTTTTGACGACGCACAGTATGGCTTTGGAAGCCGACTACTTCCATCACTGGTAGAATGTTGCAAGGCCTATAACATAGAAGACGATCCGTGGATCGAATCATTACGGTCAAAGAATCAGACTGTGGAGCTTACGAAGGCTCTCACTTCAGGTAAAACCTTCTGTAGCGAGCAACTGAAGAACTTCCAGGCGCGCACCCGTCACATTTATGAGGAGCTGGGAGGTTGGGCTGCCGACTTCTTCATCAGCGCTTCGATTGACCAACTTCAGCGTTCAATTCAAGATGCTAGTGAGATGTCACATTTGGACCGAATGGAGAGAATTTACCTGTTGGAACTGCTCCTTGCAATGCCTGCACCAGTTTCAGCCGAGGAGAGTACTCACGTATCCATTAAGCTTGAAATGCTTCTCAACTTCCTCGAAAAAACGGACAGGCCTGGGTTTTCCGGGCTACTCTTCGCCAAACAGAGAGCAACTGTCAGTGTCTTAGCTCGCATTTTATCGCTTCATCCCAAGACTAGAGATCGCTTCCAGTGTGCCTCTTATGTTGGTTGGTCGAGCGATAGAACCCGCAAGGGCTGTCTCGGTGACCTACTTCATCGAGATATGCAGCGAGATACTCTTGATGAATTCAAAGCCGGTCGTAAAAACCTCATTGTCGCTACTGATGTTCTCGAAGAAGGGATTGACGTAAGCGCATGCAATTTGGTTATTTGTTACGATAGGCCTGCGAACCTCAAGTCCTTTGTCCAGAGGCGTGGGCGTGCTCGTCATAGAGAATCTACATATGCTATCATGATCTCAAATGAGGATGAGCTGTTAAGTCTTCACAAATGGCAGGAACTAGAGCAAGCTATGATTAAAGCATATCAGGATGATGAGCGACAGCGTCGGGAAGCCTTTGAACTTGAGGCCGCCGAGGAGCATGTGGAGGCGAGGCTTTGGGTGGAAAAGACGAGGTAATGGCAACCCAGAAATTTGCTTGATATTTACTAATCGTTGATTTGCAGTGCCCTATTGACGGCGGACGATGCAGTGCAGCATTTGCATCACTTTTGCGCTGTCTTACCAGTTGACGAGTATTCCGACAACCGACCAATGTTTTCCTTCCAAGAAAACAGCGCAGGATTGCTTTTGGGTACGGTCACATTGCCGAATTCTGTGCACCCGACGGTTCGACGTACAAACGGGAAAGCCTGGTGGCGGACAGAGCGAGCAGCCAGAAAAGAGACCGCATTCCAAGCCTACAAAGCTTTGTATTCGTATGGGTTGGTGAACGATAACCTCTTACCATTAACCCGAAAACCAGAGTTGAGATTCTCGGACCAGGTGACTCTCCCATCTATTGTGCAGGCTGCAGAGCAGTATGACCCTTATGTAGACCTTGCACAAGCTTGGGCTTCGGGCCAGCTGTGCCAGACACGGTTGAAAATCTATGACAATGGTTCTGTCGACGAAGATCTGGCTATCTGCTTAATTTTGCCAAGATTGACTCCGACACCGCACCCCATTCCTCTCTACTGGAACCCCGAAGCCTCATTGGAACTCCATTTTGATCCGCAAATATCGACATTTGAGATGACAGCCGAGACACTAGATCAAATGAGAAGGATCACATCACTCTATCTGCAAGCTCCCAGCTCACGCCAGCGGGGAGACGACCGCGACTTCGTGGCTCTCTTCATCCCCGATATCTCACACGAGCGCTTGGGGCAATGGCTTGCGATGTATGAAGGGAAAGAGCCTGCGCTGGAAGTCTATTCGAGGGATCCAACTACCTCGCCTATGGGTATCATTCGCGACCAGTCCAAGTTCAGCGAGCCACGGGCATTCAACAAATGGATAGTTCCTGCCCAGGTGACAAAGACGTCGCCTATTGAAGTGGAATGTTCGTCACTCCCCCGTCGCCGAAATCTCCTCCAAGTGCGAGCTATGAATGTTACCGGTGATGGAGAGACAGATGCACCAAAGAAATCTTACGCTCTGCCTGCTGTAGCTTGCGTCATCGACAAGCTTCCAGCAAAACAGGGTCTCTTTGGACTTTTTATCTCTGCCATTTTGGATCGACTGGAGGCATCTTTGGTTGCACATCGATTGAACGATACCATTTTGAAAGGAGTCGGGATCAATAACATCGACCACGTTATTACGGCTATCAGCACTCCAATTGCACAGGCTAGTACCAACTATCAGAGATATGAGTTCTTTGGTGACTCTGTTCTCAAATTCACCGTCAGTTGCCAGCTCTTTTTCCGGAATACCAAGTGGCACGAGGGCTACCTCTCGGAGAGCCGTGACAAACTCATTCAGAACACTCGACTAGCTCGTGCAGCTCTAGACACTGGCATTGACCGCTTTATCCTAACGAGCCGATTCACCCCCCGGAGATGGACTGCACCGTTGATCAGGAACAAATTGGAACCATCGGCAGCCAAGAGGAACATCTCAATCAAGGTCCTAGCGGACGTTGTGGAATCTCTCATTGGGGCAGCCTATATAGACGGTGGAATCCGCAAAGCGCAAGCCTGTCTGCATCGCTTCTTACCGGAGATCGACCTCTTCACGAATGATATCTCACCCCTCATCCTCCCACCAGGTAAAGGTGTGAGCAATCTAATCAACCACCATCGATTGGCCGGCCTGATTGGATACACTTTCCAAGATCCTGCTCTCCTAACAGAGGCGCTCACTCACGCATCCTGCGAGTACGATACATCAACACAATCCTACCAACGTCTGGAGTTCCTCGGCGATGCTGTCCTCGACATGGTCGTCATGGCTGTGATAGCAGCCCATCCTGTAGAAATGGACCAGGGACCAATGACATTGCTCAAGCATTCCGTTGTGAACGCCAACCTCCTCGCCTTCTTGTGCATGGAGCTATGCGCCCCGGACGAACCCTCACACACTACCCAATTCACCAACGGCGAAGTCAACTTTGTCCCACACTATGACCAGATCCACCTATGGCGATTCCTCCGCTCACATGGCCCTAACATCAAAGCCGCCCGGGAAGCTTGTCTCAAGCGGTACCAAGGTCTCTATGTTGAGATCCGCGATGCCCTGGAACACGGAAGCCAGTATCCGTGGGAGTTGTTCGCCCGTCTTCGTGCGGATAAATTCCTGTCGGACATCGTCGAGAGTGTCCTTGGGGCGATGTTTATCGACTGTGGGGGCAATCTAGATGTGTGTCACGCTTTCGTCGAACGTATCGGGCTGGTGTGGTACATCCAGCGTGTTATTGGCGACGGGGTTAATGTTGTTCATCCGCGGAACATTGCGCAGAACATGGTAAAGGGGGCTGGGACCTTGGTCTTCAAGAGGAAGAGGGTCGAATCTAAAGGCACAGCTACGTATCGGTGCTCGGCGGTGGTCAATCAGACTGAAATCGCGCTGGTAGAGGGTTGTGCTTCTGCCGAAGAGGCTGAGGTTAAGGTTGCCAATGTTGCTATTGAGCACTTGACGTTGCACCCGCTGGTTTGAACACTACATGAGCTCGAAGCCAATGACTTTGGGAATTGGCGTACTGTAAATGATCTCCTGATTTTGGCTTGAAATTTTTGATTTTATTTAGCTAGATACCATGTAAGAAATTTTGGATTTAGACTGTCGTTGGTGACATCGAAAGGAAATGTAGCTAATTGGAATTTCCAAATAGATAAAGTAGCGAAAGATGGTCTACTCCCGTGCCTTACCTCCCTTTGCACTACGCTTGGATCGCCGCACAGGGGCGGGCTTAGGTTCCTCTTCTGTCTGATCCTCCGCATCAGATCCAATGGAGTTCACTTGTTCCTCCTCACTTGAAGTCACCATCACACCCTCTTCCGTACTCTCGGAGGACTGGGTATCGGCCTCAGCCTTCGACACGGGCTCCCAAGCTCCCTCGGCTGGCACGGCATCTTGACGTAAATTGTTGAGCATCTTTGTTGCCTCGCTTTCCACGCCGTTCCAAGCTCCACAGCTGCCACACCGCCAGCGGCCCAGCTCTTCCAGTGTCTTGATCCCAGGGGGAGCCTGGCCATTGACGAGCCGACATGCGCTGCAGATCATGACCATCCGGTTGCGCGGTTGGGTTTCATCTTCTCCGAGCAGAACATCCAAGATACGGTCGTACCAACGTGGTTGTTCGATGGATTCTCCGTTCTGGGGGAATGCGTTCGGTGCAAAGCTGGGTTGATCGGCGGGTGGTTGGGGAGTGAAAGGAGGTGGGAAAGAGGGCTGCTGTGGGGTTTGCGGTCCACCCTGTATTAACTCGAGAGGAGGAGAGGGATAATCGGGGGATGGCGGTTCGTTCTGGTTTTGCGATACAGAGGGAGGACGGCGAATATTGGCAGTGGGCGGCGGCGGGAGACCAGTACGGGGGACATTCTGTGGCTGCTGGGCAGGCTTCCCTTTCTCGGTTTGTCCCTTTGGACCCGGGGAGGGCTTCGGAGACTCACCGCCGTACTTCTCTAGCAGTTGCTGGGTGGAGTTGTACTTGGTTGCGACCTTGAGCTTTTCGATGGTCTCCTCGCGCTGTTTATGGAAATCGTCCAGGCGGCGTTGGATGCGGGTAATTCGGTAGTCAAAGATTCTGGAGCTAAGCGTGCGCACACCGTAGATACTGGAGGAACAAGAGCTGCATGTCAGCAAAGTGGGAACGTGCAGATTAAAGACAAACTTACAGGACCGGCCCGCCTGCGATGGCTGCATATTCCTTGATTCCCCAGCTCTCCCATCCTAGTACGAGGGCGAGAATGATGGAGTAAAACAGATAGGCGAATGTCGAGTAGAGGGTCCAGAGAGCCTTGATTCGCCGGGAAGACTGACGTTGCTGGTCGAGTCGCGTGGTGGCCTGGGCTATCTTAGTCGACAGCGTGGATAGGGTCTTCTCAAAAGAAGCCGCGGAGGTGTCATTGCCCTGACAATGTTAGCGGTAGTGAAGCGAAACAATCGACTACATTTATCTCACCTTCCAGGGCCAAAAAGAAACCATTATTGTACATACATAGTATGCCTATGGACTGAGGAGAAGCTCGACTGTCGAGCTGTTCCAAGTTTAGGAAGGCGATACGCACGGACCATGTCAGGTCGGAGTCGTGACTCCGACATTTAGGAATATACTATTAGATCATCTAAATAGGGGTTCATTGGATTTTGTTTATTTTTTCCATTTCACATGAGTATCTTGGATATCGTTACATAGATTCCAGCTATTCATTTTATTGCGTTATCTTGCCCTCTCTATGGCTTGGCCGAGGGGTTTCCAAGCTCAGCAGACCGAGTAGTGGCAGCCTGGACAGACTTGTCGACGATCTCTTTAAAGTTGAGAGACTCAAATGTCTGGAGAGCAGCGTACGTGGTGCCATTGGGGCTAGTCACATTCTTCCGCAGTTGAGAAGGGCTGTCAGAGCTCTCAACCAACATCTTGCCAGCACCAAGACATGTCTGTGTAGCCAAACGAGTGGCCTGTTCTTCGGGGAGGCCGAGAGCAGTTGCACTTGCAATCAGGTGCTCAACCATGGCAAAGAAGTAGGCAGGTCCAGATCCTAATCAAGTTAGATTGATACGCGTTGATGACATACCATATGGCTTTTGATGCAGGAGACTTACCCGACAATCCAGTGACGACATCGAGAAGATCTTCGCGGTCCACCCACTCGGTAGCCTTGCTAACACTTCCGAGCATAGCATTGACAAGCTCCTTCTCAGCGGGGGTGACATCCGTGCTAGAAAAAGCACCCGAAGCACCCTCACCAACCAAGGCAGGAGTATTGGGCATCACGCGCACGGTGTGGGCCGTACGGCTATCGCTAGTCGTCAACCATTCCTTCAAGCTGTCAAGAGTAATGCCCGCGGCAATGCTAACGACAACGGGCAAAGTCGCGCGCGGCGACCAGGCACCACCGAGCTCCTGGCACACACCCTTGGTAACTTGGGGCTTGACCGCAATGATGACCAAATCGGCATCACCTCCAGCCTCAACATTGGAGGTGGTGGTGCGCACTCCGAGTGCGGCGATCTTCTCGCGGTTGACATCCCAAGGCTCGGAGACGCAGATATTCTGCTTGCTGACGCCTTTGCTCAGCAGACCACCAATGATGGCGGAGGCCATGTTGCCACCGCCAATGAAGGCCAATTTGCTCTCTTGAATGGACGGCATTGTATAGATATGACTGAAAAAGGTGTTGTACTGTCCAAGTGAGTAATCGGGGAGTCCCGCACTTATGTAAAAATTTGGTGGGGCATCTGCGCACCGACGTTATCGCACCGGCCCGGTATTCCAAGAGTTGGAGAAATAGCCTTTATCATTGCGATTTCTGTTTTTATTTGTCTCCATTATCTTTGCCTCTCCAATTTCTGGGTCTAACCTAATTCTCTGCGTAGGTATGACCATATATCTCTTGTGGGACCATATCCACTATTCCGTGTGTGTGCATAAACACGTACAACATAAAGCAACATCAACTTCTACATTTGATAGTACGAACGTGGGGTCAGTCTGGGGATATTCAATAAATGGAATTGAACGCTCTGGCTCTTATAGTACAGTTACAAATCAGCGTATCTCCAAAAAAAAAAAAAACCACAAAAACAAAATCCGAAAGCTTGATCCATCATTCGTAACTCGTGATAGTATACAGGGTATCAATCAGTAGACACGGTGTGCGTGGTTTCCACGTCCATCAGTGCCGTGCATGCGGCGGGTTCCAGCAGCCTAGGTTTAAAATGTTAGCTCGAGTCCAAGTTAAAAGCAAAATCACTCGGTCCTTACCTTGACTGCAGGGCAGTGTGTCAAACTTCCTTTCAACTTCAATATAGCGCCGGAGACCTTGTCGCCAAGGGTGGTTTTGCGCTGATGGCGAGTATGAGTAGAGGTTCCATAGGCGTTCCTATGACCAAAGCGGCCCCCAGTACGACCGGTAGGACCAGTACGACCAGTGGGACCAGTGCGACCAGTATGATGATGGCCGTGAACGGGATTCTGGTGTGTTGTCGTCGTAGTTTTGACAGTGCGCGACTTCGCGTTTCGCCCCTTGAGTTTGGTCATCAGCGTAGGCTTGGTGGTGCGAGTAGTTGTGGTAGCAGGGTGACGTCGGTGAAACATTGTGGTAGATTTATGAAGTTGGTATAGAGTTTGATATAGAATGTATATTGTATACAAGATTGTAGTAAGTTGATTTGTATTTGCACAGTTGGGGGAGATCAGGGTCTTTAAATAAGCTCGAGAGATAGCCCTGTATCGTGGTTTCTATGTTCACTTTGATGTCGAACAAAACGTATGCCAAGCACCATGTCGCCTTCGAAGATAACGCCTGGGAGAGGTTGACGAAGAGGCGCTCAGCCGGCGCGTCATCCGAAAGACGATCTTCTCGGGGTATCTCCAGTCAACTCGCACAGGCCAGAAGACAAGATTCTACCTAAAATAACAACACGGATTATTGGTAGGTTGTCCATGTAGATCATAAAATTAAACAGGGATATATTTTGAGACTACGTCTCCATGATGGCAGGATGAACATGATTTTGACATGATGAGATGTAAGTTGCAAGTTTGTAGACCGTGGTGTTGCCAAATGAGACTTGGGATGATGTCACAGAATATTCTACGGGTGGTCTGTGCGCTAACCCATTCTTCTCATGGGAGGTACATTATGCACCCATGGACCCGTGGACAGCATTGAAGCTCATCTATCTACGCGTTCTACGTTCAGACAGAGCGTAACTGAAGGACAATGGTAGATACGGATCTTCGTTTCTTAGTGACACTATACTTTTTCAAAAACATGATCCGTCCGCGATAAGCGTATAATATATAATTTTACACACCCTTTCAACTTCCACAATATATCTATGGATGTTACCCAACAGGCTGATTGCGAGTGACATAAGTTCTTTCGAGCTATCGAGGAACAGTCACAGGGTAGAGCGTTGAATGCTTCAGCACCAACGTAGCACCTCTATTCATGGTATCAAAGTGAAAATCATGTAAACAGTGGTAAACATAATGTATAAATTTAATTGATCGGAAAAACCTAAGCTAGATATACCAGTGACTGTCCTTATATATATCCCAGGTTTCCTATTTGTGGATAGTTGCATCTAATCAGAACGATCAATTAGCTATAAATCGTGGAAATGTGGAAATGTGGTATGACAAATTAGAAATCATAGAAATAATAATTTCAGTAACTCAGAGACCAATATGAAACAATGTAGATAGACACAGATTCAACAAATTCTTTGCAGAAAGGGAAGGTCGATCATCATAGACGTTGTGTTTGGGGAAGGGGGTAGCAAGGGCATGCGCATATTTCAGGGGTCGATAGTTACCTGGACCAGTCGGAGCATTCCCCCCAAGTGGGGGGCGATGGGTGGCGGCGGGAGCTGCCCATGTGTTTCTATCAGCCACCCGTGCCTGGGAATATTGTTCATTCAGCGGCAACGAGTTAGTCTGTAAAATGATGATCTATTTTTTGTTGTTTTAGTAACAGCGGTCGCTATTTGTTAAGCACAAAGATCAATGGGGAGAGGAATAAATGGATTCCTCTATACCCGCGTGAACTGAGTGATAGTAGGCCAAAAAGGTTGAAAAAAGATTGTGGTGAATTCCTAGGACTCCGAGGTGGTTGGATCTGTTCAATTGTAATTCCCCTGAGTGCTCTTAAATACTTGTCGCTGGGTCAGGGCTAGGGCATCGGCCCTATTTCAGAAATTTACATGCAAGGAGATTATATATGGAGAATGTCGTCATTGATGGAGCCGTGTGACGGTGATGTACCCACCGATGAATATGCTGCCCATGTGCGATGTACCAATATTGGTATAACTATCCATGGATTGAATTAATGTGACAAAGGAACATGGTTGTGCCTGGGCGTGATCCTGTCTAAAGTCCTCGATTATCCCTTTGTTGTTCAGTAGGTAACAGATCATGATCTATGAAGACTATGTATTCACCTCCAACTAGAACATCATGTCCGCAGAGATGTCGAAGAGATGCTTTACATGAGGTGTCTTCCCATGTTAAATATATCCATGAATACATAATTTAGTCTGACCAATGAGCCTGATTAAGCGCCCATATATTACCAAAGTAGGAAGCCGGCGGCTAAAATAGGAAAGACCCACCCGGTAGGGGAAATATGGCTGAGTCACCTAAATGCGGTGTGGATTCATATTTCACCAACATCTTCGTTATCTACTTAGGTTAACTTACAGGAATTGTTGCAATACATACAACTGATATCGATATAGTAAAACTATGCGGAATTCAAGTCTAGCATACCTCTATGCTCTTCTATATACCTCAGGTGGCTCTGACCTATGAGTTGCTTACCTCCCAAGGCTCAGTACTCTGTTACTATGTACGGAGTACCTAACAAGCGCATGATGACTACGAGACTTTTCATTATTTCATCAATGTCAGCTTGAGACCACTCTAGAACCCCAGATGGCGAGATGTGGACTTATCTGATGGACGACCCAGCCATGAAGGGGCTTAGCTCGTATCCCATAACCTATAGGATGTCGAAGGCTCACGCCAACTGCTTTCTAGGGTGTTCGTCTATTGGAGTTTCGTGTGGAAACCGAGGGTAATCCCAGTACCCCGCACCATGCCAAGACACAACGTTTGAGACAAGATCAACATGTCACGACCAGAAAGGGAAATGCACTACAGAGATCGTCTAATGAAATGCCATTTTGAGAGAACAAGAGGGCAAATAAATGCAGCGACGTCTGCATACGGATGCAATAGGCTTGGCCCTGACAGGCTACTTCGGGGACGTTTGGACCAATTGCAACTTTTGGGTACATCCAAGACCCGCGAAAATACGTGGCTAATCAATCGTATCAGCCCAGATTGTGCGAGAGGTTTCATTTAAAACCGCTCTTTCCCGTACCCCTCACCCCAGTCCCCTTGTATTGAAAGTTGAAGCTGCTCAAAATGACTATCGACGCCCAAACATTGGATTTTACTGTGGGTTTCTAAAAGATATACGACATCGATGCCACAACTGATCTTTGCTGAAATAGACATTCCGAAATGTGATCAATAATCAATTGACCACGACAACGGAGACCCGGCATGGGATCAACCCTGCCAACACCCAGCCTAATCCACCCGTGCCGGTTTCGACCCAGGAGGATCTTGACAAGGCCGTAAACGCGGCTAAAGATGCGTTCAAGGGTTGGTCCAAGACCTCCTTTGAAGAGCGCCGTAAAGCTCTGCATGCCTGGGCTGATGCCATTGACGCTAATGCCGACGGATTTGCGAAGACCCTCACAATGGAACAAGGAAAACCATTGACTCAATCATCTGTGGAGGTGGGTCTGGCAGGTGTATGGATTCGTGGTATTACAGCTATTGAGATTACCGACAATATCATCGAGGAAACCGAAGATCGGAAGATCGTTCAACGCCATACACCCATCGGCGTGGTGGGCGCTATTGTCCCCTGGAACTTCCCCGTCCTGTTGGCTGTTGGCAAAATCGCCCCTGCTCTATACACCGGAAACACCATTATTGTGAAGCCATCCCCCTTCACACCTTATTGCGACTTGAAGCTGGTTGAGCTTGCCACCAAGTTTTTCCCTCCTGGCGTGGTTCAATGTCTGAGCGGCGAGGAGTCCCTCGGCCCGTTGTTCACTGCTCACCCTGGAATCGAGAAGATCAGCTTTACTGGGTCGATCGCCACTGGAAAGCGGGTTATGGCCGCATGTGCCACGACTCTCAAGCGCGTTACACTGGAGCTGGGTGGCAATGACCCGGCGATTATCTGCGACGACGTTGACATCGATGCTATTATCCCCAAGATTGGAACCCTTTCTTATCTCTGCAGCTCACAGATCTGCATGATGATCAAGCGACTTTATGTCCACGAGAAGATTTATGACGAGTTCTTGGAAAAGTTAGTCGCATTTGTGAAGACCCTGAAGGTAGGCGATGGCACCGAGGCGGATACCTTCTTTGGACCTGTTCAAAATCAAATGCAATATGAGAAGGCCAAGGACTTGTTCAGCAGCATTGGTACTGAAAACCTGAAAGCTGCACTCGGAGGCTCGATCGAGAACTCTTCTGGGTACTACATTCACCCGACTATCATCGACAATCCCCCCGAGACATCACGCGTGGTACAGGAAGAGCCATTTGCTCCCATCCTACCTGTCCTGAAATGGTCTGATGAGGACGAGGTTCTTAAGCGTGCGAATGCCTTGGAGACTGGATTAGGCGCTTCTGTCTGGAGTAAGGATTTCGAACGCGCAACTCGGATGGCAGATCAACTCCAATCTGGCGTTGTGTGGGTAAATAGCCACTTTGATGTGGCGCCGAATGCACCCTTTGGTGGCCACAAGCAGAGTGGTATGGGTGTGGAATGGGGTCTTGAGGGTCTGCTCGGGTACTGCAATTCGCAGACTCAGTGGCTGAAGAAGAGTTTCTAGTTTCTATTTTAGTGTCTAGTTTATTTGAATACTGAGACAAACAAAATTGGAATACCTCGCTTCAAAGGCTAACATTGTAACATGTACCACAACATTATTTCACTATACTCGACAATCTCGGAGTTCTCCCCATGTGATGAGAAATGTGTCAATTCTGAGATTCATGTGTTATCTTATCACGCCCCTGAATGCGGATCTTTTCGTACATCGGCAGACTCCGCCTCGGCGCCTCCGTTGGTTTTGCGGGGGAGATCGAATTTGACGATATAAATGCCTGGGGGTTATTCTGGGCTAAACTGGATTAATTTTGGGAATTTCGACCAGGAACCTCTTTGAAACAAACTAACATTTGTTTTTAAACCCATCAGACGATTAGCTATGTTGTACACTCATGCCACTGTGGTGACCGTGGATACTTCACGCCGTATAATTACGGACGGAGCAATTCGTGTAGTCGGCGATGTTATTGTGGATATTGGCAAGACAGCTATCCTCAAGGAAAAGCATGCAGCCGACGAAGAGTATGATCTCTCCGGTCGGATTGTCATCCCAGGGTTAATCTCGACCCACATGCACACAGCACAGACCTTACTGCGAGGTACGGCCGATGATCTAGAGCTGGTGTCATGGCTATGCGAGAGGATCTGGGTTCTCCAGGGTAACTTTACAGCCGAGGACGGATACGCAGCAGCGCGGCTGAGTATCGGAGAGATGCTTAAATCAGGAACCACGTGTTTTTTGGAGAGCATGGTAATGTAGCCTGAGGATAATTTTGGCTACCCAAACACTGACATGAATGCAGTTTGCGGATCGATATGGCTTTGACGGGCTATGTCGTGCCGTTGAAGAGAGTGGCATCCGCGGCTGTCTAGGCAAGATTGTCATGGACATTGCAAAATACGCCAAAGACGACGCTTGGGCTATGCATCCTGGTCTTGTTGAGAACCGTGAAACCTCATTACTTGGAACTGTGAAGATGTGGGAGAAGTGGAATGGTGCAGCCGACGATAGAATCAGAGTCTGGTTTGGTGCCAGGACTCCCGGAGGGTAGGAGACAAGACTGCCATTGGGGGTCACTTGCTAATGATGAATTAGAGTATCGGACGCGCTTTATAAGGAAATGACCGCCATTTCCAAAGAGAAGGGTATACCTATTACCATGCATTGTGCTGAGGTCAAGGCCGATCGCGATTTTTTTGCTTCAGTCTCGCACACCCCGATGTCATATTGTAAATCAGTTGGCCTGCTGAGCAACACCACGGTCCTCGTTCATATGGTTCATCTGGACGACTCGGACATTGAGTGAGATATCGAATATATCTGATTTCACCCAACGGATGCTAATAATATCATGAAGACTTCTTTCTTCTTCGGGAACGCATGTCGCACATTGTCCAACATCCAATGCGAAGGTAAGTTGTATCGCTAGGTTGATTCAGTATCCACAGGACTTAATGACCTGATGATGTCTAGCTTGCGTCCGGAATTTGCAGAGTGCCAGATCTCCAAAATGTCGGAGTCAATATTGGCCTGGGTACCGATGGCGCCCCGTGCAACAACACCTGTGATCTCTTGCAAGAGATGAAACTCGCTGCCATTATTCACAAGGGTATCTCTCAAGACCCCACGGTAGTCCCGGCCGAAAGCGTGCTGGAGATGGCTACAATAAATGGGGCCAAAGCGCTGGGCTTGGATAACCAGATCGGCAGCCTGGAAATTGGCAAGAAGGCTGACTTTGTGGCTATCGATGTTCGAGGGATCCACACCCAGCCTTGGTTTAATCCAGTCAGCGCAGTTGTTTATACTACAATTGGGCGAGATGTCGATGTTGTTGTGGTCAACGGGAAGGTTGTCGTCAAGAATGGTGAGCTCATGACGATGGACGAGAAGGAAATTGTGCAGGAAGCCCAAAGAAGAAGCAAGGAGGTAGTGGAAAGAGCCGGGTTGGGAAAGAAAGTTCAGGGTCGTTGGCCAGTGGAGTGATCAAACGAAGAGTCACATTTCATGATTTGTCCATTCTATTATCTAGCAAGTCCGTTCATGCAGGGAACGTGCCTATGTACAGCTCTATGATTCGGGTCATGCCACATGCCATTGCCATTTCAGTCATTAAACGTGAATTCTTCACAACAGATCACGCAATGCTTCGCCCAGAGCCATAATGGCCATAGCCTGGCCATAAGGCATCGAGGTCAACGGAATCTCTTTGTAAAAGTCAAGACAGTCACCCATCCCCGTACCAAAGCTGGTATTCTGCAATTCTCCTTTGTCATCCACGTATCCGATAACCGCAGCGATTGCCTTTTCAGCAACTGGGCGGTACTGGGCACTGATATAACGTTTCCTAACGGCCTTGAGAATACCGTAGGCAAATCCAGCGGTCGCAGAGGCTTCCAAATACGAGTCGGGGTGGTCAAGGAGAGTGTGCCATGCGCCGGATGACGATTGAAGACGCTGCAAGGCCTCACATTGTGCCTCAAGGGTATCGATCAAGTGAAGACGAATAGGGTCATTTGGCTGGAGATCAAGTAACTCGATGATCTCGGGAATCACAATTGTGACCCAGCTATTGCCACGAGCCCAGCGCGCATCTGCAAAATTGTGCCCGCCATCTTCAAATGTCCAGCCATGGAACCAGAGGCCAGTCTTTGTGTCGAAAAGATATTTGATGTGTGTAAGGAATTGCTTTTTCGCCTCTTCGATATATTGGGGTCGGTTCAGAAGCTTTCCGATCTTCGCCAGTGGCATAACAGTCATCATCAAAGTATCATCCCAGAGTTGCTGGTAGTTCTCTGTGATATAAGTCATATGCTGCATGCCACCGTAGCGGGTGCGGGGGAGTTCATGCATTGCCCATTCAGCCCATGCGTCGAGCCACGGCAGGTAGATGGCATTGCCGGTCTTCTCATAAACGTAGGCGAGAGTCAAAAAGACGGCCATGGTGTTGATATTCTTGGTGGTGCCACCCTCAGCAAATCGTGCTGCAAACCAATCCTCAATGATCTTCAACAATCTCTCGTCGCCCGTCAGCTCGTAGTACTTCCACACGCCGTACAGTCCAATGCCGTGTGTCCATTCCCAGCCCTGCCACGACTTGGTATCAATAATGCGTCCATCAGGAAGTGGTAGCAGGAATCTTCCAGTCTCGTCTTTGATGTTGACCAAATTGTCAATTAACAGGTTGATGGCGCTGTGAATTTCGGGGCCCGTGGGCTTAGGGGATGACATTGTGTGATGCTGAGAGACTGGAGATTGTGTTTTGGACGAATAATATTTTCCGCGACTTTTTGTCCGGGAAGGAAAATAATATGTTGTCCCAGGACGTCCTAAGCTCCCAAGTCTTGGTATAAGTTCTTCCACTAATGAGCTCCTAAGTCAGACGCCACGAAGTCTCTCCGCGGGGACCAAGCGTTATTCGGGTGAGAGAACACCGAGTTACAAACCACCAAAATACCTTGGAAGTGTATTTATTCTGACCCACCGCAATTAGCGGGCTACTTTTCGGCCGCCGGGGTAGCAGATCCCCGGATTCCCCAGCGTGGGGAGAGACTAGCGCGCTATCTCCTCCTTTGCCAAGAAAACCGGGGAAACAAAGGAGACGGAGGTGACTTCTTGACTTGGTTTAACTCGATTTGACTTAATTTGACTTCCGGTTAATATTATAGATCAAGTTATTGGAACCCCACATGACTCTTTCAGCCGGTTAATAATCTTACATGTGGTTAGGGCTACTCCTATTTGGGATCATGCACGGCCCTGACAGGAAAGACGTGGGGCATTATAAGTCCTGGAGAATGTCTCGCTTTCCTGTCACCTGTGTCCCCTGGTGAACTGCATTCTTGCACCTACTGTTTTCATTTCGTCATGGCCGACAGCAAACACGACCCCCAGCAGGGGATTGAGACGGCCCCTGTTGAGGGAATCGAGGTAGCGCATAAGCAGCAACCAAAAATTGACATGGGGGAGTACGAGAACAAGCAAGACATCTCCCATGTCGAAAAAGTTCTTTCAGAGCCCGATGACCTCGTCAAGGACAACATGGATATCACCCGTGTGGACAAGGAGATCCAAGCATATGCCGCCCACAGTCAGGTGGAAATCGACGAGGCCACTAACAAGCGGCTGAAAGGCCTGATCGATCGCCGTGTCCTTGTTATTATGATTTGCACATATTTCCTACAGGCCCTGGACAAGGGAACTATGTCGTTCTCGGCTATTATGGGGATCAAGGATGATGCGAATCTCAACGATGGGCAAAAGGTATGCAATCCATGTTGAGCTTTCTTTTCCATCAATATGCTAAATTTATTCCTATCCATAGTACTCTTGGTTGACTACGTGTATTTACATCGCTGTTCTCATCGTTGAATATCCTACGAACTGGATCATCCAAAGAGTCCCACTCGGCAAGTACTTGGGCATCAACATCGTCCTATGGGGTATGATCCTGGCACTCCATGCAGCCTGCAAGAACTTCACTGGCTTAGTCGTTGTTCGTACCCTTCTGGGTATCTTTGAGGCTTGCTGTCAGCCCATTTTCGTGACTCTTTCCTCGATGTGGTACAAGCGAGAGGAACAAGCGGCTACGGTGACATACTGGTATGTGGATACTCCCCCCGAAAGCGAATTCACGTTGGTCTAATGGCGAAATAGGTACATGATGAATGGTGCGCAGCAGATTGTCGGTGGCCTATTGGCATACTGTTTCACCCTCATCGGAGCAGACAAGGTACTCAAGTCTTGGCAAGCACTCTTCCTGACATATGGATGTATCTCCGTTCTTTGGGGAGTCTTTGTCATTTGGTATATGCCTGACTCCCCTATGCGTGCAAAGTGTTTCACCGAGGAAGACAAACGTCTCATGGTCGAACGTCTGCGTTCCAATCAGACTGGTATTCAGAACAGAAAGTTCCATGCATACCAGATGTGGGAGGCTTTCCGTGATCCGCAGATGTGGTGTTATTGTGCTGTTCAGATGTTCACCACTCTCCCTACCAGCGGTCTAGGCGCATTCTTCGGTATCGTTGTCTCGAGCTTCGACTTTACTGTATTGCAAACTCAGCTGCTTGCTATGGTGCTGGGTGCTTACATTATCGTTGTTCTGTTGTCATCCGCATGGCTGGTGAATAAGTTCAAACAGAACACTATCGTAATGCTGTGCTTCATTATTCCGTAAGTATCTCTCCTTGCTCAATTTTCGGCGAGGTCAGACTAACAGTTGGCAGGTCTTTCATCGGAACTATTGTCCTTATGACGGTGGAAAACACCACCTTGCCCACCAAGGTTGGCCTTCTTATCAGCTACTACATCACTCTGTCATTCTGGTCGGCCCAAACTCTTACTCTATCTATGGTGTCGCGAAATATTGGTGGTCAAACCAAGAAGTCCACGGTAGTGGCTGCAACTTTCGTGTCATGGGCTGCTGGTAACGCAATTGGTAAGTACCTTGTGTTCTTCATGGATAATTTCAGTCCCCAACTAACAAATAAAAGGTCCTCAAGTGTTCCTTGACACAGATGCCCCACGATACCACATTGCTTGGAGTGTCCATCTGGCTTGCTATGCTTGTATGGTTTTCGCCGTTGTCTACCTCCGCTTCCATCTCAAGCGTGAGAACGCCAAGAAGGATAAGCTGTTGGCTGAGGCAGGTCTCAGTGCCGCTGATCCAACCCTCATTCATGCTTTCGAAGACAAGACAGACCGGGAGAACTTGAACTTCCGCTATGTCTACTAAATACGCAAGATAATTGTGTTGGCATTGTTCTTGTCGTTTACCTTTTACGCTTTTTCCAATTATATCCTCAAATGTTTTGTTCTTCTCAAAATCGCATTCTGCGTACATGGATTGCACATTATCGCACGAATAACGAATAACACTTACGATGGTCTCGGCGTATGCTATTTCAAGATCCGTTAGGTTAAGTGGTTGATTATATCGTTCCGCAAAGCCTCACCCAACCCATAGCAATGGGGGCCCATAAGGCCCCTATTAAAGCCCATTAAAAGGGGTTCGACCGGCATCTTGTAATCGCTATACAATATTATATTCTAACCCTTTTACTGGTCGTATAAAATTCAACTATGAAAGTATATATTTTAAAGGGAATCCGATTACTCGATGTCGAGATACTGTAAAAAAGGTTGTTTTACTGTTTGATATATATTTAGGATATGAGTAGGAGTACTACTACTTTCTAAGTTAACTTTTGTAATTTATAATTACCCAAAGAATGCGCATTCTCGCGTTTTTATACGTGATATCGAGAGATAACTGGTAATTGATTCTAACTTATCAAAACCAATAAAATAATTCTTTTTGTATAAGGTGACAGATAATTTTAAAATCCCTAAAAGGGGGTTCAACCTCTTAATTCTCGGCATATTTGTACTGTACGGGGCCCAGTTGGGGGCCCATGGACCCGCAGTGGGCTTCTCCTTAGGCCCATAGCCCACCGGTGGGCTCGAAGGTAGGGCCTAAAGCCCATCCCATTTGCGGGTTGGATTAGGCTGGGCCATGGGCTTTATGGGCTTTGCGGGGCTGTAGTTGATTATGCAGGTAAACTAAACACGAGTTCTGTGGACGAGATCTCAAATCAGCCACCTGCACCGGGACCTAGAACTTGAGCACCGCAGTCTGCGAAATTATATAGCATACGTCAAAAGCTTATATTTATGCTGAATATCTGCCGAGCTCGCCCAAGTGAAAAGAGCTTGGCTCAAGTTTGTTGATTGGGACCCCACCCGGTAGAAATGTGCAGCTCATGTATTACCGTTGCTGTCAAGCTATCTCGCATCCATGATCTTTTTCTTTGGCATCCATTTTTAAAGCCACGAAATATTAAATAAAAAATAAAGAATTTGAACGTATATCGGAGTAACAGGGCTTGAATAAAAATACCCTATCTTCTTTCAACGGCGCAATTCCTAAACGGGGCTAAGGGCGCCTACTGACACTCCAGATAGGCTAGTGTGTCAGGTTTGCATTATAACTACGTATGCCTGACCCTTCATTAATTTCCATGATTCCTTTCTGCTTGATGCATTTAGATCTTAAGCTACCATGACACGAAATCAGCGCGACCTCCCCTGGTGGCGTTGTGACTTCCTACAGAATTACCCCGTGGCTTGTCGGTCTCCGTGCAGAATGAGTATTTCAGTTGTGCTAGCTTCGCGCATAATGTTTCCAATTGGTTTCATCCCTTGTAATTGCAATTCTCAATCCGAGACACCCTTGGGATATCAACCAGGAAAGCGGATCACATGAAAATCCGTAATACTGCTCTCGATCACTATAAATATGGCCGTTGCGCAGTTCCAGCACAAAGGGCAAACACAGGCAGAGTCTGACTTTTGCTACCTACTTCGCACTCAACATATCTATTATCCATTTCTTTGAGATTCAAGCTTATTCAATTGCTTCTTCAAATACAATCGCAATGTATAGCCTCCTCGGCCCCGCTCTGTTTGCGTCCCTCGCTGCGGCCCATGGTCACGTCACCAACATCGTTATTAACGGTGTCTCCTTTAATGGATGGGACATAAACAGCTATCCGTACATGGAATCGCCTCCGGCTGTGGTAGCTTGGGGTACCCCAAACACTGGCAATGGTTTCATTGCTCCGGGTATGTTATATCATTGTCGTCCTCTTTGGCCAAACACAATTTCTTTTCTAACATTTCAAAACCAGATGCGTACACAACCTCAGATATCATCTGTCATCTAAATGCTACTAATGCCAAAGGGCATGCGGTAGTCGCTGCCGGCGACCGAGTCTTTCTTCAGTGGACTGACTGGCCAGACTCGCATCATGGGCCGGTCATTGATTACCTCGCTAGTTGTGGCTCAACTGGCTGTGAAACTGTGGACAAAACCACTCTCAAGTTTTTCAAGATTGACGGTGTTGGACTAGTTGACGACAAAACCGTTCCCGGCACTTGGGGCGATGATCAGCTCGTAGCCCAGAATTCGGGATGGATGGTCGAGATTCCTCCCGACATCGCACCTGGGAATTATGTCTTGAGACATGAACTGTATGTAAATCTCTCTGATTCCACGAGAGAGTTTGGCTAATCTTGCTTTGCTATCAAGGATCGCACTCCACAGTGCAGGCACTGAAGGTGGGGCCCAGAATTATCCTCAATGCTTCAACCTTCAAATCACTGGCTCCGGATCAAAGCAACCAGCAGGTGTGTTGGGTACAGAGCTGTACAGTCCAACGGATCCTGGTATTGTCGTGAACATCTACACATCTCTGTCAACCTATGTAAGTGATTAGTCGTCAGGATTCGCTGACATCTCACCCGATTCCACTCCCTTGCTAATGTCGCATTATCAGGTTGTCCCTGGGCCAACTCTTTACAGTGGTGCTGTCTCAATCACGCAAACTACTTCAGCAAGCACCGCGTCGGGTACACCAGTGACAGGGACAGGAACAGCTGCTGCTAGCGGCACTACTACAACCTCATCCTCCAAGGCTGCCACCACGACATTGGTGACTACCACAAGAGCTACCAGCCCTACCACTACTATCAGTAAAACCAGTGCGATCAGGAAGCCCGCTACCGCCACCCCTTCCACCACTCCCACCACCGCCGCGGCTGGTGGGGGCGGAGCAACCCAAACCCTCTACGGACAGTGTGGAGGAACTGGTTGGACAGGACCAACTGCATGTGCATCACCAGCAACCTGTTCTTCGGCGAACCCGTATTATTCTCAGTGTGTTTCAACTGCTGCTTGAATTAATTTGGCATAAGTCTCATGGGAAACCGTCGCTGGACGATGGATTCAAAGTATGAGCAGGAAAGGAGTGTTATTGATGAAGTGTGATGATTGATATCGATGTCAGCCTCGTGAGACATCTCACATGTGTTTTAGTTAAAATGTGGCCTGAATATAGTCATATATATGTATAGAATTCATTGTATATCACTGGGTCGCTTGTTCTAGTCATGGTATACAGCAGTCGATTGTTCCCTTCAAAGTTAACTAGAAACTGCGAAGGTTTACCACAGCTATGTTACTTGCTTCTGGGGTTTCTAGATGCCTTCCTTGGCGATCCTCGTGTTGAGATGCGTGTCTACATAGGTACTCGGGAGTCAGGCAGTCGCGATCGGGGTGGTTGCCTCGCTGATTAGGCCACAGCAGTGGATAGTCAATAGTTCTGGGACCTCATCTCTTTTCTCCACTCCCTCCCTCCCTGGCCTTCGCCTTGTAGAATCAACATATCACAATCCCAATTTCGAATTGTAACTCAGCCTCATCACGGACCATTTTTATCCGCTTTGAACCAGTTAGCTTTGATTATTCGAATGTGTCTGGACTTTTTGGACCAGGAGCCTTCTGGGCCTGGATAATTACCTTTGTGGACGGCTTCTGCCCTAACGAGGGTCGGCACCTGCTACGAGTCATCTGAAAAGAACCCTGGACCTTTGCCATGTCATTAGACAGGTTCTCACAACTCCCTCCTCTGCCAATAGAGGACCACTCTGTTAAAAGAGAACTGCCCTGCCGGAACAACCTGGGCGAGGCTGACGAGCTGCAAAACGATAAAATGGAATGCATATCAAGATTGCTGAAAGAGATCATGCAAGACACCTTGACTAATGCAAAGGAATCGTCGACTCACCTCTCAATATTGCGCGATATAGCATGTTCGGAGACGAGCCTGGTATTTTTAGGCAAGAATTCAATGAAGCGACGGAGAGTCTAGCAGCCACTTACTGTTGGTCCGCGATGGAGGAAGCAGATATTGCTCACTACCTCATCGAGTTTCGCAATCGGCTTAAATTCCGTACCCATCAATTTGAGACTGCTAAGGCTGAAATTCCACATGAGATGGATTTGAATACTTGGGCTGCAGTTCTTTATGCTCTGATTTCCTGCTGGGTATGCTTCGTACAACACGGCGGCTTCAAATCCGATACGTGGAGACCCGAAGACGATGCTGCTGCGTGTATTGCGCAGTTCTCCTTTTGTGTATCGGTTCTCGCTTGAATATCATCCCATCCGAGAATGCCTGAGAGCACTCCAGAATTCAGAGCTTCGCTACGCTTAGCCGTCTGGTTTGTTGTCTATTGGCATAGTTGGCTCGTAATTCACCTGCGCGGGTACTACATCGAGAACGAGTGGAGTATACCAACTGCGCTGGCCCTAGGCTATAATGCTGGGCTGATGGGACTTCTTGCGCTCAGGATGTGTTTTTTGGTCTTGTCTCGGCATTCGTGGATTGCTAGAAAGTTCCGTTTGATTACTCCAAGACAGGCGCTACTAGGTTCAGACTTGCGAGTACTGACGGCATGGTTCTCCCTTGTTCCATGGTCCTACATCCTCGGTTTTTGGAATGTAGGAGATACCCGCGCGGTCCTAAAATACCTTGGGGAATTCATGTTGACTAGTGAGGCCAAGGGTACATCATCAGAGATATCCAGATGGCACGCGGCATGATAGCCATGTTGTCGAGCTCCGACAATGCACCACAGGCCAGATGGAGGAAGGAATTCAGCAGTATATTGTGCAAAGATGGATGTATCAATTTTAAACACTCATCAGCGTATTATAGTAGTCTGATCGCATTAAACAAATAAAATAATATATGCTAAGCAGGCGACAGCAAGCCATTCAAACGGCTCTTTCTTGGCCTCATGGGGTCCAGTGGGCGATGTCTGACTATGAACTCAGTACGTTGCCTTTGCGAGGTTGTTCGCAAAATTGCCCTCGTTGAAAGGAACATTTCCAGATCCAAAGTCGGTTGTATCCAAAGCATTTTGCTCGACAGCTGAATGTTCCACGTTAGCTTGCTAGCTCCTAGACCTTGGGAATATAGCTGGGCAACTTACCTGACATTGACTCCCAGGCAACCAACGGCTGTGTGCCACCGATGGCAGTTGTTAAGCCGCAAGAATGATTCACAGGCCAGACGGACTCATACTTGATCAGAGATGAGGTGCCATCAAGTGTGAAGCCGTCTGTACTGCAATCCCAGCCACCATGTGCGGACGGGCAAACGGCCACGATGTTCGAGGCATCGGTACTTGTGGCATCGGAAAGCCAGATAATAACTCCCTCCCAATCGTGGCGATGTCCGAGATCAGTCGACGGCTCATCCTTGGGGAAATACCAAGAATACATCAAGGCATTCTTGCCTCCGGAAGTACCGCTTCTCACTGTAGATTGCAAAGGAAGGCCGTTAGTCACTATGTTCCAAGTCTATTGAATGACTAACTTCCGAAGAAACTCACCGTAGATTTGTCCTGTGCTTGAACTGCATCCACCATTGGAACTTCCAGTTGGCTTGAGACCGGCACTGCACCACAGGTATTAGATATGAGAGTCTTAAAAATCCTTGACAAAGACAGTTCTCCCACTTACTTCGTGTTCCCGTTGACATCCACGGCTGGGAAGGGCACGCAGCCATTGACAACCTTCAGCTTGGGCTGGTAGGCCAAATAGCGGTCGCCAACAGCACCGGCTGGAACGGTTTGGGGAAGTCCAACAAGGTCGCTGTGTCCAATTGTTCCTCGACGCGACAGCTCAACCGGGTTAGCCGTCACGGGCAGCACCGTGAGAGCAGTCAGCGCAGCAATTAGCTGAGGAATCATGTTGGAATGGAAATTAGGTGTATGTTGTGGTGACCTTGTTCTATTGAGAAACGGGATTTCTTCGGGATATTTATATTTTGTAGATGAACGAAGTACGGAATACAACATAGGCAGTGGTATTCATCAGAATCGATCGGCATGGCTCCGTTGGCTACCTTGGGAACATTGTCGTTAGACCCGCTTCCTTTGGCCAATTTAAGCCCGGTGGAAACGGTCTTCAGTCCCAATGAAGTATAGTGGATGATAGGAGAGTTCGGTGTGAAACTCTGATTATAGATTAGATTGCTTTTTACGCGTGCGATCGTCAAACCCGGTGATTCGCCGTCTCGTTGTGTTTCTCCGATGCGAAACGAGCTCCTTGTAAGCTGAGGCATTTTCTCTGCTTGTGAATCCTTTATCTATGCTCAATTTGCTTAATTGAAGCTAGTCTAGGTTTTAATATACAGTAGTGGCTCTTATATGCACCCCTGGCAGGGATTATTAATATATTCACTCATGCAACATAACATGATCAAATAGAACACGTGGTGATAATCAGGAACATCCATGGATGATCTGCACCGTCCTTGGCATTCGCGTTTTTCTACACCAATCAGGGTAGACAAGTCAACAAATTGCCCAGCTTCTTCAAAACAACCCCCTGTATGTCAGCGGACGCATCCCTCTTCGAGTCTGCAACACCAACTGAGACACTTGCATAGCATCCAGACGCTAGCGATACTTTCAATTCAGTTGGTAATCTCGCCTCGTCCCCACATGTGGTCACATCATCCCCACTAACTAGTGGAACTGCGGTGTGGATGCGGGAAAGGACGAACGAGAAATCGGCCGGACTTGCGCATTCGTCTGAAACCTTTCCAAAGTTGACGTTCAGCCAGGTATCCTTTGGTAGGTATGGTTTTCCAGCAGCAACCACGTGATTTGTCAAGTTGGTTGCCAAATCCGCATAGACCTCACTGTAGTGGGGCCGCGAACTATCCCATGAAGTAGAGGAGCCACTAGCACCGGAGAAGGCGATAGCAGGGATATCATTCTTAGCAGCGTATGTGGCTGCGCCCACGGTTCCGGAGATGAAGACTGTGAGGCCAATGTTACTGCCGACATTGGGACCTGTCACGGCCAAATCTGGGGCGCCGTTGAAGAATTTCGGGCCACTCGTATTGATGCCGTATTGAATGGATGTCACCGGGTAGCTATTGACATAACCTAGTCGGGGCTATTTATACCATTAGTCTGCTATTCTGGTAACACCAGGCACACAATACTGACCTGTGAGGCATTAAATCCAACCGCCGGGCTGCCAGATGGGCAACTGTTGAACTCGCATGGCTCATCCAAGACAGTTGGCTCTCCTTCCTTCGAACCTGTAGTGACGCGCGTCAGTAAAAGAGCGGAAAGTATAGGGGAAGGCACAACATACCCTTTCCACTCTGGTTCTCAGCGGGCGCAGACACCACAACTGAATGATCCGCCGCTCCTAGAGAATCGAATAGAGCGCGAATGTTTGCTTCCGCCCAGCCATCATCGTTGGAGGAGATGATGTTGACTGCGCTGGCAGCCAGAGGGAAGAGCGCAAGAATGTCGAACCGCATGTTCAAAGAGTGTAAGGGCGTTGACGAAGGGTAGAATCAGGGGTTGCTTAGATCTTTTTATATTTTCAGATCTAGTCTTTCTACATGCACGTGTTTGTCGATCTCCCTGTGATCAAGGGAGGGCTGGGGGGGCCTCGGGGGGACCTCGGAGTCCGGCTCAATCGCAACGGCTCGGCCCAAATCCAAAAACGGAAGAACAGAAACTCAATTGGTAGATCACACCCCGGTCACTCCCTGCGTCAAGTTGAACTATTGAATTATTACATGGCCAAGAGTTTAGTATATATTAACACCCAGGTAGAAGTAAACAGAGCACAATATAATTAATAGACTGGATAGGAGGTTATGAAAGAGAGCAAATAGGGAGAACTATCTAATGAGATCCTGGAGAAACATAGTGTCTATGGCAGCTGAAACAAAAATAATAAATGCCGAAAGGGATGCTTTAGAGAAGCATACGAAATGGGCCATGCTGTTGGAAATGTATATGAATGATGCCAATGTTAGCTTAGGCAAGCGCTTACGGTCGGATTGGTCACGATTGCTCATTCTGAACGGGCACTCTTCGTCTTCTTGCTCCTGAGTTTCATCATAAAGAACACCAAGGCATATGATGAGATGCAGAACAGGGCAGTGATACCCGTCTAAAAATAAACAATTAGCATCGTAGCCTAGGCCAAACCAAACAAAGGTATACTCACATCCCTCCACGAATAGTATTTCTCTTTAAGATTGAACGTTTTCGCGTAATCAGAACCCTCGGAGTACGGACAGAATGAACATGTCCCAGTCGAGTTCCCATCAGCTAGGTATCCAGTCTGCGTGGCGAGGAAATCGGCCATGTATTGACCGCAGGTCTGACCGGACGGTGCGGTGAACTGCACAAATTCCGATGGTGCACACTTGACCTTGACATCCCAGATCACTTCGCCAAATAGGCCACCAACCAGGTAGTTGAAGGGGTCCAGGTAGTACATCCAGTATCGCCAGAATGGCTGCATGAGGGAGTATGGAACCACCACGCCACAGAAACTGACCAGGCCGGCACCGATCAAGACGGGGTTCATCACAGCCGCAAAATATTCGTTCGGTGCGTATGCTGCAATTGCCTGGCCAATGGATGTGTATAGGAGTTCATAGACTATCTTGATGTTAGATACTTGGATCAACCTTCAAGACTTAGTGTAACTTACAAATCATCTGAAGATAGACATGCCCGGAAACACTGGCCTCGATCGGAAGCCCTGCTGTGAAGTACCAGCATGCAAAGTAAAGTGTGGCGCAGATGACAAGGTATGGAAGCTCCGTCAGAGTTTGCGCTCCAATGAAGGCGCTCCAGTGATAGGTTTTGGACTATAGAGAAATCGGTCTTAGCGATATTTGCATGTCATATAATCCCATTGGGTTGCTCACCTTTTTCTCTCGGGTCTCAAAGATATCACGACTATGCAAGAAGAACGGCTGCATCTGGTTAATACAGCCGGGCGCGACGAAGATAAAATTGAAAATCGCAAAGAGTCTCAACTGAAGGTCGAAAGTGCCGTTGCCGATCTTCCAGAAGGTGAATCCACTGAAAAGTGCCGCGAAAATATGCAGAATGATCTTGTTCCACATGTAGTCCTAGGAGAGTGTAAGCTTTTACAAATTGATTTTGTATCTCGTTGTAACAACGTACTGGTGAGCGCCAGATATGAATGCTGAGGCGCTTAGAAACTGTCTTGAATTGGAACCAGTGCGAGGTCGCATAGTCAGCAGTATCTTCAACATAATCGGAATCGTTTTTGCTGGATTCGTTGAGTGCATCCAGTTGGGAGAGTGCTTGCTTGCGCTCTTCTGACTGACTCCAGATTTCGACCCAATCCTTTTGGTCTGTAGTACCTCCTCCTTGAACAACATCAATGATGTGCTCTGCGGGGTTGGCATCCGGGGGGCATGGCGCTCCGTTGCGAGCGAAGTAGTCCAAGATTTTGGTCGAGTCCTTGCCAGCTGTAATCACAAACCAATCATTAGTGGTTAATCTTGACCAATTATCTAAAGAGTAAATACTCACTTTCTCCGAAATATGTCATTTTTCCGCCCTTGGCTAGCAAGAGAAGACCGTCAAATGCGTCGAATAGCACCGCAGATGGTTGATGAATTGTACACTAACAAATTTAGTACGACGTTAAAATATTGTAATCCTTTGAGAACTTACCAACACAGCTTGGCCGCCATCGACCAGTTTGCGAAGGAAACGCACGATGTTGAACGCACTTTGCCCATCAAGACCGGAAGTAGGTTCATCCAAAAACAACAATGTAGGCTTGGCAACGAGCTCAACGCCCAGGGTCACGCGTTTGCGCTGCTCAATGCTAAGTCCCGCTCCAGGCACTGTGGGCTATTAGTATCGCTGTCCAGTGGGATCGAAACCAAGCAAACATACCTCCGATAAGTGCTTCGCTGATGTCACGCAACTCCAAGAGGTCAATAATATGTTCGACGTAGGCAAGTTTTTCTTCATGTGGAACCGTCGATGGCTGACGAAGAACCGCCGAAAAGTCCAACGCTTCCTTGACCGTCGCTGTCTCAAGATGCACATCCATCTGTTCGCAGTAACCAGTAGTTCTCTGGAAACTGATTCCAACCGGGCGGCCATCAATCAAGACTGATCCATAAATTTCTCCGCTATCCTTGCGCTGAGCAAGCACATCCAACAATGTTGTTTTTCCGGCCCCCGAAGCTCCCATGAGGGCAACCAGGTTTCCGGGTTGGACAAATCCAAACACCTTGTTCAGAAGTTGCTTCTTCTCACCGTGGAAAGGTACATGGTAGTCAAGGTCTTTCCATGTGAAAGTCGATTGCTTGACTGAGCCCAAAAGTGCGGCGGCGTCTGCCTGCTTTGGAAACTGTGACTTCTCACTCTCTTCCTTTGCACGAGTTTTCTCGCTGCCGCGCTTGTAAAGCAGGACAGACGATCCACTTTGGCTGTTCCGGAGTTCAAGGCCGAAAGAAGTCAGGCAGATGAAGAAAATCCAAAATCCAATGAGGATACCAAAGCTTCTCCAGATGTGATGGACTGAATAACTATATTGCTCTTCAATGTATTTTGCTCCATCAATAATGCCTTTATCGTCGCTTCCAAGGACTGAACATCCACGGTGGGCAGATACTGAGTTGGAGTATCCGGCGCCGTATGGAACATAGTCGGGTTCTATGCATGTGAATTTTCGTCCGACAAACTCATTGGCCATGAGTGCTTCGAAGGCATATGCTCCTGGGTTGAGGTAAAAGATCCAGCGGAACCACACGTGCATCTTGTGGAATGGGATAAGATAACCTGTTATCTGTTAGTTGTTTGGAATTCTTCGTATCAATGGCTATGTTCAAATACGCACCTCCGTAGACAAAGAAGACAGTGGACAGCAAGCCGGATATTTTGGATGCATTTCCAAACTGTTTGCATACGGCGCCAACAGCTCGGAATAGTTGCACAAAACACAATGTCTGCGCAATAACGATGATCCAAAAGGTGAAGAACTTCCCTGCATCCATTTGAAGAGCAGCCATGAAGTAAAGGATAATCGAGAAGCAGGTCACTTGGAACATTACAACTGGGATATCAGTGATAGCGTTGGCGATGGCAAAGGCTGTAGGTCGGTAAAATCCGAATCGCTTCTGACGAGAAAGAATTGGCCGGCCCATAAAAGATGCAGTTGTTTCGGACAGACTTTCAAGGAGGAAATATAAAACCGGGAAAAAACAAACACCAGGGCGTAAGAAGATTGAGCTCGAATCCTTGTAGTTTGAATTGTTAGCTTGGTCTCCCTACATCGTCTCGGGTGGAGGGCTTTTTGATTACCTCTGGCAAGTTATAGAACAGACTTCCACAGACCAGGGCCTGGAGTAAAGCCGACACGACCTTCACAAATAGCGAGAGCTTATCACCCCAGATAACCTGGAACTGGCGGAGAGCACAGGCGGCAATCTGATCCCAGAGGTTCGCTGTATAAACACTGCTATTCCGAGGAATATGTTGTTTGCGCTTTTCGCTAGATACTGCCAGCTTAAGGTCTTCAGTTTCGTAGCTCAGCTTCTCAGGGTCCACGATAGAGTCCATTTGATCTTTACAGATAACGCTGTTTTTGTAGCAGTTTTCGAAGTCCTCGGGTGTATTGGGCACCTTTTCTTCCCAGCCGGGTCGGATTGTTCGTTCGGTAAGGACAGTGACTGAAGTAAGAAAGTCTGCGACATTGGCACCCTTGGGGCAGACGAATCCAAGGTCTTCAAAGTATTTTCTTGCAGTACGACGAAGGCCATAGTAAGTGACACGACCTTCAGCGAGAACAAGGACCTTGTCGAACTGGTCATAAATACCGTTGCCAGCTTGGTACGTGGTTGTAATGATTGTTTTGTCGTTTCGGTCCGCTTCACGTCGGAGCATTCGAGCAAATTCCACAGCTGACTTCGAGTCCAAGCCCCGAGTGGGATTGTCCCACATTTGGACTGGACTTTGTCCGGCCAGGACCTCAGCAAGAGAAACGCGCTTCCGTTCACCTCCTGACACGCCTCGGATGTACTCGTTTCCTACCAAGTTCTTCTTCGTGTGTCCAATTCCAAGTGAACCCAGGATCTCATCACGGTGGTTCTGGACGAAGTCCTTGCGGTTTCTTAGATGCTCTGGTCGCTCGTTGGGAACCTTGTTTCGAAGAGCAAATTTCATTGTACGGTTGACTGTCAGGGTTGGGAAGTGAACATCATCTGATATCATGCAGTTAGCATTGACCTCAATAGATCCCATGTTAGAATTACATGCCTTCATTGTTGAACATGATCTGCTGACGGAAACCTTTGGCAGTCTTGTGATCCATGCTTCCGTAGTTGGTTTCGCCGGTGACTTCATCAAAGCTATCCCGATCATTCGAGAGGACTCGAAGGAGAGAAGTGCATCCGGAACCTGGACGTCCCAGCACAAGAAGCTATATTGGTTAGTTACAATACTCTGGGTTTTTGAGCCATGAGAGCCTACCATTTCTCCAGGCTTCACCTGACCTGCAACATCTTTGAGGATGGTCTAGAAGGTAAGTTAGTATATGATAGCTGCATGTTGATGGTTAAATATGTTTACCCTTTTTGGACGGTCGCCGCGCTTCAGCAGAGCCCCGACCTGTCGCGGGTCGACCTCTGACCATAAAGTGCTTCCTAAAGCAGCATCTGGTGCAGTCACTCGAACGTTCAGATCGCGGAAGGTGACTGTCAGTCTTTTGCGAATCTGGTCGTCGCCGCTTTCAAGATCGACCGGGGTTACTGTGCCGGATGATGGAGTTTCCATGACGGAGGCGTATATTCCTGGAACGAAAAAGAATGACTACTGGTGATGGTACCGGTTCCGGAGAGCTGGAAAGCAAAAACCATGGTTGAGGGGCAGCAGAACTCTTATATTGCAGATACGTTGTCGCATCTACATATTTTTAAATCCATATTGCCGGAGTGGGTCATGGCTTATAGATCATATCACGTATGTATCGCTGGGTGGAGCTTACTGATAAGGGACATGGCTTCAAACAGGTAAAAACAGCTGCAAATCATATCCTGTTAGCGAGATATTGCAGTGATGAGTTGCTCGGAAATATACGTACGGACATATAAAAGACCCACTCGGTCCTAAGCGATCGTTCATTCGCCAGGGGTCTATTTCTGTACCTTCCAGAGCCTCGATGAGATCCACCTGTCGGATATATATCCACTTTCACGGATTTAAGTCGGTAGACGACCCCTTGGTGAAGTAAAAATGGATGCAATATAAAGAAGTTGTATTATAGATTATAAAATTGGTTAGTGCAAGGCTCCCATCAAGAAACCGAAGCATCATTCGACTGATAAACCGAAAAGAACGCGTCCAGGTCCATGGTAGAGAAATCGAAATTCCAGCCCATGTCAGACTGAGTGAAATCAAGCAAGTCATCACCGGAGCCCGCAGAGCCTCCAGTTTCTGGGTTTTCCAGGTTTTCCGCCTGTGGAAAGTTCCAGAGAGATGTCGGTATGCTAGACCGCATTTCTAGTGAAGGGTTCTGAGGAATTGCAGGGTTGTTGAGCTGTGATTGATGGCTGCGGTCGGGAGTGAGGCCTTGCTGTACGGATACCCCTCCTGGGGACGCAAAGTCATTCCCAATTGTTGCTAATGGAGGTACCCATTCGTATGATGGATTGATGTTGCGAAGCACGGTCTGCATGGCTGAAATTGAGCTTGCGATCGGGTCCCCAGCTCGCATGGTTGACAATGTTTGCAACGAAGCATAAACCCAAGGCAGATAGAGAGGCGCAACACTTGGGTTGTGAATGAACTCGTAAATAAGAGTAAATACAGAATTGCCAAAAAAATACCCATGGTATCGCAATTCCTGTGAGATGGTTAGTGGATGCCTTTCATGACAACATGTGGTATATTTACCAGAACAAGATTATTGACTCTTGAAGCTTCACATAAGTGATGGATTGTTCTTTGGGCGGCAGTTATGGCATGATTGCAGGCCTCGTTCAGCCAAGAAGGCGTTTCTCTGGGGCGATTTGGGACATTGGTGGTAGACTGGTTGAGCGCGATATTCCTCTCGCGCTGCCAGTGGCCGCGAAATATCAAGAATGGGCGGAACGTGAGGAGCAGGGTATGATGATATACTAGCTCTGATTAGAGTGGGGTTAGGCAATGACTTAACTGTGACTTACGGGTGATGAAGATAATTTGTCGAACCCCAAGTGATCCCGCCTGGATGCTGTCATCAAGCCCAAGGCCCAAAGCTTGTTGTAAATGTGCTTCATTACCACGTATATCGTTCGCAATAGATCGAGCGACTCTCCACATGTGCAAAAGAGACTCATGCCGCTGGCCGTATATCTCATTAACCGATCGAGTAATGCTTTTGCAAAGCTGCACCAACAACCGAATAAATGGATCCTGCGGATACTCGATTGCAGCATCTTTAAGGGAGATGGAGTTAGGACGTCCCACATGAAAGCAGAACCAGCTATATATATGATGTTAGTGAGTTTATCGAAGATCAGACTGAGAGTGGTAGTGTACGTTTCATAGATGTAAAGAGACCAGAAGGTTACCCGTCGTTCTTCAATGTTTTCCGGGGTTTGATCAACATCATGTGGAACATCCTTATGAAGACCTGCTGATAAGGCTTTGCGAGCAGCAGAACCCAAATGCAAGAACGTTGAGTTGGGCCGACCTTGCTCGTTTTGGTAATTGGCGTAAAATCTATGTCAGTCTGCATACAACAAAGTAAGAAGATAAGGACTTATCATGAGCAACGAAATTTGGATAGTCTGAAGATTCACCACGTCATCAAACGCGGCCAACGAAGTTTTGACACGTTCGAACAGCACATCACCCCAGGCAAAATGTTTCGTGCCGAGTGAAGCGCTTGCCATGGCAAGGAGAATGATCGCATGGGTGAAAATATCTAGATGGTCGGCGGGCGAAGAATTGTAGAGTCGGTCCAGGCATTGCTCATAATATATCTTGGGGCGAAGTGGTATCAGATGATAAAGGCTGGATAAAAATCGCGACAGAAAAAGCCTAGCCAGGTCGTACGGTAGGAACACCATAGATAGATCTCCTTTACCAGGAGACTTGTTACTCTCATGAAAGTCTGGGGTTCCGAAAAAATGCGACGGAAGCTAAACAAGTCCAGGCCAGCTCCAGCTTCCTCAACCCCGCCAGAGGGTTCGGGGTGGGAGGTAGGATTGGAGACGAGATCTCGGTAGATATGCTGCATGAGAGAGAAATGAGAGGTGGGGCCATAGTATAGCTGCATCCGACATGAGGGCGATGCCGTATGTGTTGCAGACACACTATTTGGGAAGTCATTCATCACGGAGGCTGTGCGCTGCCCCGATGGCGGGACTCCGCTCGGAGAGCCCTGACGAGTTGAATTCCTCTCGTCGACTTCATCATGCTCATGCTTCTTTCGCCGATGGCGAATGTAGTCTCTGTATATACAGGGTGTATTGCGCAATTGGCAAGTTTTACACCTGATGTTATATTAGTCCAATGAATTCACTATCCAAACGTAGACTGGAGGATCTCACGGGGTCAGGCCATTGCATTTAATTTTACGTTTGCGACATTCCTGGCATGCACGAGGGATTCGCCAACCCGGTTGAGCTTTATCCGACACTTCAGACATGGATAAATACGTATCAATCTCAGAACTCCTGTCAGTGCAGTTCATCCGTTTAATCCGAGAAAATTATCCGTCTATATCCGAGTCACGTGGGTAATGTGTCATCACATCGCCCCGAACATTGCATCCTATATATTCCATGGCTGCGTACATCAAAGATCAAATCTATTCTTCCTCACTGATAAGTTGAAACGATGTCTGGAGCCATCTTTTAAAGACAATCATTTTGGAATTCCCACTATTAACTATAGTTAGTTAGTTGGGGTTTTTAACATATTTGCGCCTTATAAACAAGGCACCAATCTCTTGTCGGAGCATGACGACCGGCATACCGGGGGATTTATTAATCCTACACATTTTTGTAATTAATGTTATGTAATCATGGCTCCATATAAATTGTACCAAGAGCCGATACAGAAATACAGAGAGTTGAATACCACTGATTGGACCCCTACATTTACAATACAGACCAATCCGACAGTTATGAGCCCGGTTCGCATCGAAGAAAGCATTACTATTTGAGATATAGTATCTAGTACACTACTAGAAGCCTGCTTTCTACCCCTTGAAACCTCCTAGCTACCCCTGAATTAGCAATTGTGAAGCTATTCCCAGCTACCCCTGAATCCAGCAATGGAGGCAGCATCAATTCTCTCCGCCATGAAGGGCGAAAAACTGAAGGACTCGCCGCAGTGGCTCACTTGGTTTGCAAAAGTGCAGCTATATGCCATGCAAAAGAACGTATGGGACCTTTGCAACCCAGATCCCCCGACGACAACCGAATCCCAAGCAATAAGATCTATACCTCTCTAAGAACCGGTGGAACCGGAATACCCAGAGGACGGCGATGATAAGGATCGAAGGATTTGGCGAGATCGAATGGACGTGTATAAAATGAAGTACACGAAGTGGGAGAAGTAAGCAAAAGGACTAAGTGATGTCAACGAGTATATCCTTACCTACCTCGACCCAATGCATCACCTTGCTCTGATCACATATCGTACTCCGTATGAGAGGCTTGTATACCTAAAGACTAGATTTGCTCGGTTAACGGCGTACGAAGAAGAAATCCGTATGAATTGGAAGGTCTTTGCTATGCAGAAACCAACCGGTGATATTGAGCAGTGGCTTCAAAAGTGGAATTCACTAAGAGAGCAAGCTATTAGCCTCGGTATTAGCGATGTAGATTCCAATCGAGACTTCCTATATGCAGTTAAAGAGGTACTGCCAATCTGGTGGTAAGGAAAATACTAAGAGATTGTTATGGATAAGAAGAAATATGACACTCGAGATCTTCTTGAATCATTCCGTGCAATGAATCGGGAGATAGGCGTCAAAACTGTGACCTCAACTAATGCTCCAAAAAGTGCTTTTTCAACCTGGCAAGGTCATCGAGAAGCAAAGCCGGAAGCGAAGTAAGAGAAGCTTCCATTCGAGAAGAGAAAATGTCTATATGGCAATGGTCATCTATACCACAAGGTGGCCAACTGCTGGCTCATAAATGAAGCTATACGCCCAGAAGGATATACCCTAGACGAAGGGAAGCTAGAGAGAGCTAGAAAGAAGCTAGCAAATGATCTAGGGTGGAAGCAATGGGTCGACAAAGCTGTCAATGAAGCTAAATCAAAGTATTATGAATCTGCAAACCACGTTAGCTTCGCTACTACCTACCAGAGTAAGTAACAGGGCAGGCCTCAGAGTAGGCCTCAGAGCAAGCCTCAGGGCAAGCCCTAGGGCAAGCACCAAGGCAAGCTACTAAGTGAAGCTATACAGATTGGTAAGTATGTACTCTCAGCTGTAAAGACTGGCGAGCTCTCTCTCCGCAATCGATGGATTCTTGACACTGGGTCCAGTTTATATGTATGCAATAACAGAGTACTGTTTATTGATTTTACGCCGGAAGTCATAGATTTGACAACTGGTGACAGTACTACGTAGGTGCTAGGGAGAGGCAAAGTTCGACTAGTCGGCAAGCATCCACAGAAAGGGAGAATGGAAATCATATTGAGTGATGCTCTCTACTCGCCTAGCTTCCATACAAATCTAGTGTCGTACGCGATGCTAAAGAAGAAGGGGGGCACCTGGTGTTAACGTACAAACTGTATCCGAGATCTAAAGGATCTACCTGTTGTTAATGTACATCTATGGGACCAGTTTAACCTCTGGATTTTCGATGAACCAGGAGAGGTTCTACCGCAACAAGCATATGCTGTAAGCGTAAGCTCACTAGTACCGGTACTAAGAGTATTAAGAACGTTAGTAAAGCCGCAGAAATCAGAGGCATCCCCCGACGTCTGGCACCGAAGACTTGCTTATATTGAGCCCCGTGCCGTAGCTAAGCTTGCTACTATGGTAGATGGTATAGTCCTCCAGGAAGCAGAGCAAGAAGAAGCTTCATTATGCTAAACCTGTCATATTGGGAGAGTACTAAAATAGATCTCTCGCCGGCCAGTAGGACGTACTTTTGGACGATTTGGAAGGATCCACTTTGATCTTATACAACTGCCGCTAGCATATAATAGACACCGATGGATATCTTATTTCTATATGGAAGGAGTACGATTCCATTGGATAATGACACATGAAGTGAAGCCTGAATGCCAGCTGGCGATCAACTAGTTCGTATAGCTAGTAAGGAATCAGTGGAATCTACCTATTAAGGCATTTCACTATAACAATGAAGCTGCAGCAGGCAAAACAGCGGAGCATAGTTTGATAAGCGATGGTATCTTGATATATTATACTCCACCCGGCCACTCAGAGATGAATGGGTATGCCGAGAGATCTGGCGGGATGATTATTACCCGTATGCGTATGCTCTCTCTTGAAGGTAAGCTTCCGAAAGACCTATGGCCTGAATTCGTAAGCGCTGTAGTGTGGTTATTGAATCGCACCCCTATATACATTGCTTCTGAGAATAAGTGGTTAATACTATGGGAAGAAGTAAGAAGAGAATTTGCTCCAACAGCCCCAAAGATCAATCTAGCAAATGTTAGATTATATGGAAGCTTGGCGTACTGTCGTATTGAGAAGTAGGTTCAGTCAGATAAGATGAATCCAAGAGCAGAGGTCGGCTTCCTAGTCGGATACTTGGCATCTAATATCTATAAAATCTGGTTTCCACACAGTGGGAAAGTGAGGTATATACGAGATGCAGTCATTGATGAAGCACGTAAATACTCGCCGGACTATAAGAAATCTCAGCCTATTCCACTACTATTAGTAAGAGAGCCAGAAGAGATTACGCCCGACGAAGTGGCGCAAATCATTAACTATCAGATCGCTAGCCAGGAAGCAACTAGTACGCCGGAAAGTGAGCATCAAAACCGATAAGATGAAACCGACGATGCTCTACCAGATGCTCTTCTAGATGCTCTACTAGATACTCTTCTAGATGCTCTTTTAGATGCTCTACCAGATACTCTACCAGATACTTCATAAGATATTTAGCTAAGTGAGGTTGACTACTGAGAGATTACCCTACTTTAGGGGGTGAGCAGGTAGGCATTAATGCCTACCCCAATAAGCCTACCACCTATACTTCTGACCTCGGTCAGAAAAGAAGCCGGTGAGATCTAGGACATACAGAAGGATTAAGATCTATTACCATTAACCCTACCAAATGAAGAAACTGGCTTACAGCAAGGGGTGGAAACTGGCCCTGATTAGGGGGTGGATATGTATGATCTAGATGATCAACTGCTCAGTGAAGATTAGGCCTATGAAGAAGCCTATGAAGAAGCCAATGAAGAAGCCAATGGAGAACCTAATGAAGAACCCAATAGAGAGGTGGAAAATGAGCTAGAAAGACAGCTCCAGGCAGAACTGCTAGCACTAAGCAGAGAGATCTCCAGCAATATAGATGCTAGCAATATACTAAGTGGACGTCGAATACGTAAAGCAAAACAAGATGACGATTTTGCATATGCAACCACTATAGTATAGGGTATTGACGAAGAAGAGCTACCGGCTCTACTATATGCATTTGCAGCTGGTCTATACGCCGAGAAACCAAACGCTCGCCGCTATCGAGATGATCTCCTACCACCACCTAAGTACTGGAAGGATGTTATAAATCATCCTTTTCAGCAAGGTTTTCTCGCAGTAATGAAGAAAGAGATCCACTCTCTATCTGAAAAAGAGATATTCGAAGTTATTGAAAAGCTAAAGGATCGAGGGATACAAATCCTTCCCTTACTATGGGTTTTTGTATACAAATTCGACTAGGACGGTTACCTTTTGAAATCGAAGGCTCGAATCTGTGTTCGTGGGGATCTTGAGATGATTACCTATGAAGAAAAGAGAGCTGCTACGCTAGTAGTAAGAACAGCAAGAATGATCTTTACACTAGTCGCTGCCTTTGACCTAGACCTCCGTTAGCGAGATGCTGTCACTGCATTTCTGAATAGTAAGCTAAGCTAAGAGAAACCGACGTATACGCAGATGCCAGAAGGGTTCCAGTCCCTAGGTAAATGCTGGAAGCTTCGTCGAGCATTGTACGGCTTACGGATCTCGCTACGTCTTTGGCAACAAGAAGCAGCTAGTGTACTCCGAAAACTAGGTCTGTAATAAGCACCAGAAGACCCTTGTGTCTTCGTCGGAGAAGGGCTAATAGTCTTCTTCTATGTGGATGATATCTTAATTGCTAGCTATGCAAATGCTAAGGCAAGAGCTATGCAATTGGAGCGAGATCTAGAAGCCTACTGGGAGCTGACAGATCATGGAGAAGTATTATGGTTTCTTAATATCCGAATCATTCGCGATAGGAAGCAGAAGAAGCTCTGGCTATGTTAAGATAGCTATATAACAAGCATTGCTACCCGCTATAATTTGACAGATCGACTACCTGTCTATACGCCACTACCAGTTGACGAATTGACGCCTTACCAAGGCGTAGCTACCCCGAAGGAGATCCTTCTCTATCAAAAGAAGGTTGGATCCGCAGGCTATGCCACCACTATCACTAGGCCAGATGCTGCAAAGGCTACCGCTCGACTAGCTCAGTTCTTGACGAATCCAGGGCCCCAGCACCACTAAGCAGCTGACCGGGTCATCAGTTACCTATATACTACCCGGAACCTAGCTATTGAATATAGTGCAGACGCAGTAAGCACTGGAATCGATTCCATACAGTTCGCAAGCGATGCTTCATACGGAGATCACCCAGATCGAAAGAGCTCTGTAGGCTACATCTGTCAAGCTTATGGTGGACCAGTTGACTGGAAAGCGAGCAAGCAACCCACCGTGACAACGTCAACCACTGAAGCAGAGCTGCTAGGCCTATCAGAGACAGGGAAGCAACTTCAATGGTGGCGTCGACTACTAAAAAGCCTCGGTTTTGAACCCTCCTACAATATGACGATCGACTGCGACAACGAGAGAACGATCAGCCTACTTACTAGTGAGGACACTGCCTTCGAAACGAAGCTTCGGAATGTCGATATTCATCATCATTGGCTTCGGCAAGAGGTTAGAGAAGGACGCATAATGGTGCGATGGGTGCCGACGGCGAGCATGGTCGCAGATGGACTCACAAAGATGCTATCTCGCCAGAAGCATGAGAGCTTCCTAAGGATGCTCAGGATGGTGGACATAGGCTATCTAATGGCCTAGTCAATTAAACCATGGAGATCAATATGCCGATCTAACAAGTCCAGCAATCCCATACTGGGATAGCTGAGGGGGTGTGTCGGAGCATGACGACCGGCATACCGGGGGGATTTATTAATCCTACACATTTTTGTAATTAATGTTATGTAATCATGGCTCCATATAAATTGTACCAAGAGCCGATACAGAAATACAGAGAGTTGAATACCACTGATTGGACCCCTACATTTACAATACAGACCAATCCGACATCTCTTGACGCTCGTTTCAAGTCAAGACGTCATGCGTCATTTACTACGTCGGACTGCTGTGTACACTGCTGACAATAGTTTCAACTGATCCGATGAAAACATTTTCGGGTCAATTTCGGGATAACTTCCGATCGGCTGATTTCACTTATGTTGCCCATGCTGTTGTAACCCGTGTTTCTTGGAAGACTTGGCGTCTTGGAGAATCACGAAGGCCTGACAGATTCTGCGGTTGTGGTTGGTCGTCATGACGCCCAGACATAGTCGGATGAGGGTGTCGGCATTTCTTGCACCCACAGTGCCCAGGCTGTAGGTACCTATGTTGTATGTAAATTGTGGAGATCCCCACAGGACCAAAGAGCCAGGTCGGGGAGATCCACAAGTCTGGGGAAATCTTCTGGGGAAACCCAAGTGGCAATCGTCGTCTAAACTTTAGAGGTCCGACACCTAGGCTTGTCAAGAATTATTATGATTGGACCTCTATAATAATTACTTGGCTCTCCCACTATTAGCTCCGAATGCTAAGGCATTTTTGACTCTATTGACAGTGTCAGACCAAGTGAGCTTTCCTTGGCAACGGCAGATTGAGATTTCAGCTGCTGGAAAAGCCGGACATCAGTTCGGGACTAAATCCGTGATCCCCCACAACCCCAGATTTACCGTTGAGATCTTCCGATCGGGCTTCTAATTGAGCTATAAAATACCTGGTCCCGCCTGGGCTATGCTCTCGAGGTCTTCCTTGATCCCTGTTATCTGAAACCCCCAGACCGCCCCCTTATCCCTTCAGAGCTCAACGTACTGTCCGGCACTCCAACATGACCGACACCGAAAGAGGCACCACGCCCATCGGTGATGAAAAGGTCATTTCAGACCATAAAGAGCATATTATGGGGGAAGTCACCCATGAAGCAGCGGAAAGGGGTCAACTCGCGACAGATGAACATGGCCAGCCCCTGGTTGAATTTGACAAGGCCGCCGAATCACGATTGCGACTCAAAATTGACCTTTATATTGTCCCAACAGTCGCAGTTATGTACCTCTTTTGTTTCATCGATCGAGCCAATGTTGGTATGTGACAAGCCACCCCTATCCTTCCCGAATTTCTATTTCCAGTTCTAGTACTAACCCCTTCTTTCTTGACATAGGTAACGCTAAATTGGCCGGCTTCGACAAGGATCTTGGTCTTGTAGGCTATGATTACAACGCCGTGCTCTCGATATTCTTTGTCGCATATATTATTTTTGAGATCCCCAGTAATCTCGTATGTAAATGGGTCGGGCCTGGATGGTGGCTTCCAGCAATCACATTGGGATTCGGCATCTGTTCGGTCGCCACGGCTTTTGTCCATGATATGTCAACTGCATCTGGCGTCCGCTTCCTTTTGGGGTATGTGTCCTAGACTTTGCAAACTCAACAACGCTGACAATTCCCTAGCGCGTTTGAGGCCGGACTCATGCCTGGAATTGCGTATTATCTCTCTCGTTGGTATCGACGAAGCGAACTTGCCTTCCGCCTGTCGTTGTATATCGTCATGGCTCCCCTCGCTGGAGCGTTCGGTGGCCTTCTAGCCTCGGGCATTCTCATGCTCGATCACGTCGGTTCTCTTCACAGCTGGCGTATGATCTTCGCAATTGAAGGGATCATCACGATTGGAATTGCTCTCATCGCATTCTTGACGTTGACAGACCGACCTGCGACAGCCAGATGGCTCTCCCAGGAGGAGAAGGATCTAGCCATTGCCCGCGTCAAATCGGAACGTGTTGGCGTCACGGAGGTCCTTGACAAGCTTGATGTAACCAAGACACTCCGTGGTATCTTCAGCCCAGTGACGCTCGTAACCGGTATAATCTTCATGTTGAACAACATTACCGTTCAGGGTCTTGGATTCTTTGCGCCCACAATTGTCAAAACCATCTATCCCAATGCCAGCGTGGTCTCTCAACAGCTGCACACTGTGCCTCCTTATGTTGTCGGCGCATTTTTCACCGTGCTATTCCCCTACCTCAGTTGGCGATTCGACCATCGCCTCATTTTCTTCATTATCAGCGCGCCGTTAATGATGACTGGTAAGTCTCAACTCCTTGAGCAGCCTCCCAAAATATAAGGGTTGCAAGGTATAGCTTGTTCCAAACTAATCATCGGGATTTATCCAGGTTATATAATGTTCTTGGCTACCGAAGACAGCATGGTCCGATATGGGGCCACCTTTATTATCGCCTGTGGGGCCTTCGCCTTTGGCGCCCTGTGTACTGCAAACGCATCGGCGAATGTCATCTCCGACACCGCAAGATCATCGGCTATTGGGACGACAGTGATGTTCGGAAATATTGGTGGGCTCATCAGCACCTGGTCATTCTTGCCTTTTGATGGACCCAACTATCCGATTGGTAATGGGCTCAACTTGGCAACTTCGAGCACCACTCTCCTTCTTGGCGCCGGCCTATGGGCTTATATCAAATGGGACAATCGGCGCCGTGCGCGAGTCGATGTCCACGGTGCCTTGGCTGGGCTTTCCCAGCAACAAATTCAGGATCTGGACTGGCGCAATCCTGGGTTCCGCTGGCGACCATAGCGATGCTCGCTCGGCGTAGCTCAACCAATCACTTTTGTCTTGTATCTCATTTTCCAATCTCATGGACTAACTACTCCGCACCATGGTACACTAGCCTTTGGTCTCGAACATTCAATTGATTCGTATTACCTTTCTAAACCTCCGATTCTCGGGCAAAGACATGGGTCATCCCAGAGCTCTATTGACTTTATACGCGTATAGCTGTGATAGGAATATGTAGAATTCTGCGATAAACTACTGCGTATGCTTTGGACATCACTCTCTAGGTCTCACCATGATTCGGCTCAAATACCACATTTTATAGCCACGAAAGAAGTGACTTCGAAACGTGCTCCTGATATCAAGTGATGCACCCTGCAAGGATCAGGGTGATATTACGATAATAAACGCCGAAGAACGGACTAAACGTCCTAGAGATGAGTCTTACTTCCTAGGATCGGGGGTTGGCAAAGATTAATAATGAACCTTGTCGCCAGGAAATTACAGAAGCCGGTACCTCGCCGAGACTTAAAATTTGCCGACATTGTCGGCATGGTCTTTTCCCCAAGCACATGGGAAATACTCCGTAGAGCCCAAGTGATCGGCTTGTCCAAGCGCACCCCACGCCAAGCAATGGTACGCCTTCCCTTTCCAGAGAGCGGAGAGTTGCGTTGGTCTGGGGACCAATCAGCGGCTTCATATCAGTCATATATGGGGTCTTTCTCCAGTTTTTGCCCCCGCGATCAAAGAAGCTAACATCTCCCCCAGTGGAACCCCATCCTTGTAAGCCACATGCGGCACGCACACACGCATTTTCCACATTTTTTTTCGGACGTTGTCCGAAACTTATTGTTAAGGTTTTATGGGGGAAATGATGTCTTCCAAGAAATTTCACGTACTCCAGTATTTTCGTACGGAGTAGAATGTCAAGAACGGCTGAGAATGAAGAGATGACACAAAAGAGAAATGTGAGATGCAGTGACCATGCAGTGCTCATGTAAGGCTGCATATTTAATTCCAAATTGGTGACCATGTGGTGAATATCGGAAACTCGGTCCATTCCCTATCAAAAAGTCCCGAAAAGCCAAAGACGGCAACTTGATCGAATGAGAGTTGAGCGGGATTGGTCCTCGAGACGCAAGCTCTCTTGGCACTGTTCCCGGTGTCTTAGCCTAAACCTGTCCCGGTGTACCAGGTGTATCATGTGTGCGGTGTCTCACCGATCCACAGCTCATTTTGACTACAGGGATTTCATGAATCGGTGACACGATTTTCTCGGGTTGGAATTTCCGGTCCCTCCCTCCCTCGCCCCCAGATTTTTCCCCGCATGTCCCTGGACGAGGATCCCATACCTATAAAAGACCACTTGCTCTGGCTCCCATTTGCCCTTTCTTTGTCTTCTTCTACTACCCCGGCTTCGCCTTGAACATTACCCCCGCATTCAATCATATACTTGAGTGTTGCCCACCATGGCCGGCGGAGCAAAGAAACCAGTCAATATCTTCCGCCTTAAAGACCTAGGCGAGCCTAAGGAGGTCTTCAACTGGCGATTATGGTTTGCGGTCATCTCATTTGGCCTGATGGGCGCTGCCCGAGGTGTCGATGAGGGTTTGATCTCAGGCGCCTTCAATTCTAAAGACTTTCAACATTATATCAAGTATGATACGTACAGCGAGGTGGAACAGACCAACATCAAAGGAAATGTCACCGCAATGGTCCAGATTGGATCTGTTGGAGGAGCTCTTTTGTAAGTTTTACCTGGAGCTCTATTAGATCGAATCTCATATCGAACCCCTCGTCGCTAACCCAGTATTTGTTCTTCTACAGTGCTTTCTTAGTTTGTGATCGCATCGGTCGTATCTGGGCAACTCGCCAACTTTGCGTCCTATGGATCTTGGGAATGGCGATCTTCATGGGTAACAGTGGTAGTCTGGGTGCTGTCTATGCTGGTCGCTTTATTGCTGGACTCGGTGTGGGCCAGACAGTCGTCGTTGCCCCTGTATATCTTGCTGAAATCGTGAGTTGGTCGTGATCCAAGTCATATTCAAACATAAACTAACAAAAGCAAAAGGCCCCCGCTTCTATCCGTGGTCTCTGTACCTGTGTCTTCACAGGCTTTGTCTATTTGGGCATTGTGCTTGCATATTTCGCCAACTATGGCTGCGAGCTCAATCTCGGCGACACCACTCACAACCGATGGGTAT